TTTTATTTTTGACGAAACCGGAGACGAAGGCTTAATTGAGGTGCACAACGTCAATATTTCGAGACATTACTGCCGCAAGAAGCCATGGCCCGTTACGAAATAAATGTTGAAGTCCCAAATATTGGTTTTACTCGCATTATGAAAGTTTATCGGGCAAAAACCTTTGGCTTCTAAAAGTTGATAATGACATTTTTCAGCTCCGATGGGCAAATACGATTCGACGGGTACTGTTGGTATTTATAGCAGTAAGAATACATTTTAATAGGTTGCTCTGGTGAGCATCGTAAAGTGTGATTCAATCTTATCTATTTCATCTGAACCAGTTATATGTATATGCCAAGATAATACTGTTTTGGGTAGGCATGCACTTCTAAAACAACCTTTTTTCTTCCATTTCGAATCTTCATTAAAACCAAAAAATTGAATTTTCAATTTAATTGTAACGATGTATGCCTATATGCTTTAGAATATAATCACTTTAATTGAATTAATTATTTCCGAATAGAATCTCAGTCCAAATTAGGGCGATGCACATTTGAATATCCATGTACACTAGTTCCATTCTTGTATGTGATATATTATCTCGATTTAGGATAATATTCTGAATTTATCTATTTGAATTGTGCAAATATATGAAAATTTAAATCGTATTTAGATTTTGCTGAAATATTTACAGTTCAATAAAACAAGAAAAAAATTCAGGTAATTCGATTTCTGCAGAAAGCTCTTTCTGATAGCAAAAATGTAGAAGTTCTTTCTACTAAATTTTAACACACGCTCAATTGAAACTTAGTCTCTACATGGAACCTAATTCAAGAAAATATTAAAACACAGATAGCGATATTCCTACAATAATAAGAAAATGACATTTAGATTTAGCTAAACTTTCATCGAATCTGAGTGATAGGATACCATTGCAAACTAAAATATGATTCGCAATTGCAACCACACAAAGTATTTTTCAAAGCTGTCAATTTTTTGAACGACAGATAACTACAGTAACCATCTGCGTTGTGGCTGCATGGAATTATTGCAGTTTCTAATATACATAAAGATTATTCGCCACTAACAATAAACATTTTTTCTCTCGGTTAATGGATAATACATTGAATATTAAAATTTTCGCAAAAATATGAAACTCGTTTCTTGATCTTCCGACATCCCATAATCAATTCTCGAAAATGGTGAAAATCCTGTATTCACCTCAAAGTGGAGTGACCTCACAAAACATCATTTTAAGCAAAATGACGACAATAAAATCCCACCGGAAGATTGAAAACCAATAACGATTCACTTTTTTAAACTTTAATTTGAACTAACAAGATTTTGTTGCATTCTAATAACCACAATTATAATTTGTTCGTTTGCGTTTCTCTTAAATTAACCAAACTCTTATTATAATTGATGTAAATTGGATTTGTGTGTTGTTAATTACATCAGAACGTGTAGACCATACACCATGCTGCACGAAAGTGATACGAAGACGGATGAGTAGAATATGCCAGAAAAAGTCTATGCATGATATTTCGACTAACAGGAGATGTTGGTTCAATACTCTCGCAAATGCTCAACCACTGAATGAAATAAAATGTGCATTTGCCATGAATATTATTTGATTTTCAGTTACTGGTGGTTATATTTAATATTTAGTGTTTTACATCTCCTCTCAGGTCTCTAAACAATTAGGTATTTTTAGAGATATTAGAGGTAACAATTAGGTATTCGTACTTTTTCGTCGTGCTCATGTATTAACCGACCTTAGCAAGTTCTCTATTTTAGCCAGGCCGCAATAATGTCAAGCTAAATTAACTATGTTATACAATGGCAGTGGTGCACATTAGCCACGACAGACATTTCTTTTGTCAAATAGACATACATAACAAACAATGTTATCGGTGGGCAAAAACCATACCTGGCTAATGTTGGCCCAAGGATTTTATGCTTATGTGTGTGACATAGAATGGTATTTAAATATTTTTCTTCAAATCAAAAACGGAATTGCATTACAAAAGGGCAATCGAGTGATTTTATGGCAAATGGTAAGGCGTGCTCTAAACAAACATAAAGCATTTTAATACTGGAATGTTTTCGTGGTTTGGAGTCAAACATGTGAAAGGATCATAATATGTATAAAACAAGAACCGTCTGAATTCTTTCGTTCAAATTTAGGCTCAAAATAACAGGATTTCGGGATACATACATATGCCAATGGATGAAAGCACTGATTATAATTATTTACTACCAGGCTATGATTTATATTCTACATTAATATTTATCGCGAATTTAACTATTTCATTCTGCACTGATATTACCATGATGACTTCGCACGTTGAAAGTTTTGAAATATTGCTCGCTAAATGTACAATGAGGAAATTTCCCGAAACATCCTTGCTGTCTCTTGATTGGAAACGATTTACCGAAATTGAACCGAACAATAGTGTGTATTTATGATGCTTTGATTAACTATGCGACTGGCTAATGTATGTCATTCGAAAAAATGAGTTTACGAATATTCAGCTATTCCGAAATAGTCAATTCAATTCCTAGCAAATAATTTTATGGACCAACTCGAAAAAGATCGACAATATTTCGTTTCTAATCCTCAATGATATACAACTATTATCCATTTAGTATCAACCCCCGTTGAAAGGATATGCCATCCTTCGGCATGCCGTCAATGTCAAGTGTGCATCAGCTTCAGGTCGAGTTTCAATTCCGACTCCGTAGTCGCATCGGGTCATAACACATCAAAGAAATACCAGACGAACCGCGACCATAGGTTCGAGTGTTTATTTCGATGTTCAATTAAACAAGGCCAGAACGAAAAAATCCATAAATCAAGCATCGAATACTCGATTTATCTACTTGCCATGTCTGATCGGAAATGATCTTACATTATTTCCTAATAGCAATCTAAAATTTAGTTCTTAGAGTACGTTACCATTAGAATCAGGTATTTACTTTTTGCACCTAGTAATTACGCGGTTTCTGTTGGTTCGGCAGGCGCCAGACATGGTCTTTAAGCTTCTTACTTAAAAATCAATGAGCTACTAAAGATATTATCAAAATATAAAGTTTCATCACTTGTCCATATATAAACAAACAATACAATGCATAGAAAGCCTGAAGGTACAATTGGTGTGATACCAATGACTACAAGCCCAAAACGAAAAATTATAAATTTGAAGGATAACTCCAAATTCCAAGTGGTCAACAAACGAGTAATGAGATTTGAATTAAGATGAGGTACTGGTAAGTTTTACAGTTGGCAAAACGTTCTGAGCTTATTTGCTGGATATGTGGAATTCGTATTCGTCAACTTGTGATATGAGTCGTCTCCAATTCGAGTAATTTTTGAAGGCTGTTAAAGGCGGGTAATTAAAAAATATAATCGACCAGAGAACTGTCAAGGAAGCCGCGCAGTACCAGGGGCAAGTCGATTGTTATGGCATGAGTCAAGTTGAGTGATTTCCTCAAACTGTTCTCAATTCCGAATAAGGCTATTTTTATTCAAGTTAAGTATGACTATCAATATTTCTCATTTTAATTAGTTTTACATATATTTCAATATTTTATATTTCCGCCTTTTCGTATTTCCCGTAAAAAAACTATCCAGCGTTATTGTAAAAACATAAAGTTCCTTCAAACTAGTTTACACAAACCATCCTCATTTATGATAATAAATTCTTGCATAGCATAGCTGGATATTTTAAACAACAAGGTATAGACCACACGTAGCCTAATTTATCATTTTCAAATGACAAATATACATATGTACATACAAATTAGACAGTGTTTATATATACGGATGTCTCTTAACATATTAAATCGTCGCTAAATAAGCAAAAGATTGTTTCAATACATATTTACAAATCCTCAAACACGAACCACATATCGAGTTCCGGACTTTGGTCAAACTGTAAGAAAATTTGCAAACTATATGGAGTTTTGAAACTAATTTAGTTACTCGCGATCAAATATGGACACAAGTCTTTCACCAGCTAAAATTTTCATAAATATAACAGTAAATTTTAAATAATATATTATACAATACAGATGGTGTTTCAAAGAAACAAAGTGGTTTTTAAATATACCGACCCAAGGTATTTGATGGATATTTAGATTTATTCTGACGAATATGAATTTGTATTTATCAAATTAAAGTTATTGAAATGCTTTAGCAATCTAGCACTCATTTAGAGGTCTAGTAGGGCCATACATAAGTTATCCGTAAGTTTCCCATTATGATGAAAAAAATTAACTAAACCAATCATTTAATAGAAAATTTGGTAACTAAATAAAAAATATGGGTGACCGTAAAATCATAAACTATGCAACGACGTCATTGCAACGCTATTTATAATCCTATTATTTTAACAACAAAAAAATCGTTTCATTACTCAAGTAATTTTACCAAATTTCATCACCCAGGACCCCCATTATTATTAATATTTTAAGTAAACGAGTTAAGTATGCGTTCCCATGCATTAAAACTCTCACAAAGTCCAAATAAGGAGCCCGGGCGCGGTCAAAAGGTTCGAGTCAGAAGGAGGACGCCTAGCATAATAACCGAAAATTGGATTTTTGTGCGCGCGCCAATGCATAACATCGGCTATTTGGGAAATAATGTAGTCCCGAGTCTTATAAACGAAACGATGAACATTTCTACCCAAATTAACAGCTGATCTAGCTTGAACCAATCAAAAATTTTGATTCGGAGTTATCCCCAGCCACGATTGATTTCTTGTGGGTATTGCTTATATTTAACAAGATTAGTACTTTTCTATCTTAGCCGACCTTGGCAATCTCGCAGCAGAATAGAATACAAGCTATCTGTCATCATGGTATGACTGGCTGATTTGCAAGACTATCAGACTCGTCCATTAGCAAAGTTACGATAACCATTGAATTCCAAAAACTACTAAAATTAAATGGATTTATTTTGATGCATTACGCGCTAAAAATCTCTTGAATGATTGATAAAATATATAAAAACTTACGTTGGCACAAAGTGGAGTCTCGATTTCTTTTAAATCCCGGGTCACACTGGCAACCTCCTGTCAATATTTTCCATTTCCCGTCGCTGTTGCAGTGGTATGTAGGCACTGAAACAAACGTTGTTTTATAAGAGAGTAGAAATACTAGGTACTAAATAAGCGATGCTCAAATATATGGACACGAAAATCAAAACGAAGTATTACGGGTATGTGATCTATCACAGTAGACTACCGGTACGAAGGTATTCCCGACTAACGCGGAAGCGCCACAAGGTGCGCAATTTTTGATGACGTCATCGCATACACAAAATACGAAAAAATTTTAAAATAAATAAAAGTAATAGCCTTCTAGCGAAAAATACAAACTTTAACCACTGAAAATAAATTTCAAAGCAATTGGTCTGGCAGTTAAATAAAATGCGATTTTTTCACAAGGATAGAAAAGATAACAACAAGAACAGTAACATAATAACAAAACGATCCATATGTACATTTCGTGTCCAATAAAACTGCCTAACCGTTCACAAATCGAAAGAAATGCAATGATGCCGATATACGATCAGCGGTAGATGATTTCAGAGGCTGAGGCGTGTTCGTATATTATTAATAGGTCTATGAAGGAACAATTTCTTGTCCGTAGACTTGTTAGGAGCGTATTTATGACGCACCCCATTAAATTATTTTACGCTTCAAATTCGAATGCGGTTGCTAACGAATGAGTAATATATGATTTCAAAGAGCTATAGTTCCGAAATTATCAGTCTCGTTCGTAGTGAAAAATTTGAAGCACTTCATATAGATAAAAAATTTTCGATGTTTTAAATTCTAAGTCAACTAATCTGAGGCTATTTCACCATTTCCACATTTCCATGCATCTTTTAATTTAAATTTAAACCTAAATTATTTATACAACCGACATTTTTCAATTTCATGGAAACTTTTGACATGAAAATGACATTTGACTAATTTTATCTTAATTGAAAAAGACTTTCACCCTTCTGAAGTGAACTTGACGCTCTAAAATGGCTAAATTTAAAAGATTTGACATTTTTAACAATTTATCGCTTCGTATTTCAAACGTATGGACCTGCTAATGTACATATAAAACTGAGATGATAAAAAATAGCTTTCATGTGATTTAATATGGGGTTGGTAAAAGTTGCAGGAAACCCGTTTAAGCGACCAATCAATTTTAAACCAAATTTTAATTTTTTCACGCGTTCGCCCCAAACAAATCCGTACAGTACGTTCAGAAACACCAACCCAATTTATCACAAGCCGGGTGAAGTGGTGGGCATAACATCCTCAGCCTGGGACGCCAACTTCGTCAGGTCTAACTAGGGATGTCCAATACGAATAGAATATTCTAATTCATTCGAAATTTATCATATTCGATATAGTAAATTTCAAATTTGTAAATCCATCGATGTTTCAGAATATTCCTATTAAAAAATTGAGAATTTTGAGCCGTCAGACTCCTGCGCGGATCTAAACGTACGATATCTCAACTGATAACAAACAACACAGTAAACAATGACTTTTATATTTATGTCGTTTCATCGTGATTTGTGTAATTTTTCACATCAACTTGCCCCCAATTTGAAATGTACTCGATATAGTTTAACCATGGGGATGAAGTTCATAATTTTTTGTAGTCCACAATACATCGACATCCTCATAAAAATTGCATACCTTCTCCATTAGTGCGCTGTGCATTCGCAACACATTCTCCTTTCAAAGCCACAAGGGAGGTTGCTTCCCCTCCTGCGTTGGTAGTTGGAAATGTGGCAAGTTGAGCAGTTTTTTCGTGGCAGTAATAATAGTATACTCTCAGTCCATTGATAGACATACAGGCTCCTTGATCCTGAATTGCTATGTATAGTCCATTCCTGAATTTATATGTAGAGTGTTTAATGTAGGATACAGTATGTTTATATCAATGAACAAGAGAGAGATGCTCAAATATATGGACACGAAGACCAAGACGAAGTAGTGCGGGTATACAATCGGTCACAGTAGACTACCGGTACCGCAATCTTCACCGCTTCGCCTGGCCACTAGATATCAACTTACGCAAAAGCGGAACCGCCACAAGGTGCGCAATTTTCAATTTAGATGACGTCATCGCACACAAAGAACGAATTCCACAGACCCATATATTTATTATATATTGAAATATAAACTGAGATGGACATCAATGCGGGGTTAGTTTTCTTTTTAAACGGAAATTCTTACTCAAAAACTTCAAAAAGTGCTTCTTTTTTTTAAGAAGTTTGAAAAATTGTTTACTTGAATTTATCAGTGGTTCATTACCTTAGCAATTTTTCACCATGATTTTGTTGTTTATAGTTTTCACAAGATAATTAGTAGGTTATCTCTTACACCATTATTGTTTAGTTTTGGGCTCGAATGCAATTAATTTTCCTACTTTGGTCATATCTAATTTCCGCCCGTAGTTTATAATCTGTCGGGCATGTCCCGTAGTTGCAGCGCGTCAATGAGGTTCCTTCATCGATGGCTCATAAATGACAATTTCGTATACTAATTTTAACGGGAATTTACTCCATACAGAGAAATTTCAAAATTTCAGGTAAAATGACTGAAATTTACAAAACATCAAATTTGGCAATTTATAACTGGAAATAGGCTATTTGCGCAAAATACTTTTGTAAAACTCATTCAGAGCAGTGTTTCTCAATGGAGTTCTGGGTCTAAGAATTTTTGAGAAGGGCTTGTAGTTATAATTGGGCATACAGTAAATTCCATGAAAAATGTGTAAGTGAAACTGAACCAAGGTTTTTTGTTTAACTTGACAAGGTAGACACAAGACAAGGTAGACACAGGAGCTAGTTTGGTGGACATTAACTTAACAGTTTTACTGAATTGTTTATATTTGTAAAGGTATTCAAAATTTTTTATAGTCCAGGTTTTGTGAGCATAAGATTTCTTTTTGGCCACAATAGAATAAAGGGCGAGAACCATTAATTTAGTGCATATCTCTCGTAAGTATTTAGGTTAGGTTAATCAGCTACATATGAAACAATATCCAAAAGGTTGGTGGAAATAGGATATCTTCCGAGAGAAAAGCTTTTATAGTATACCACCAGCAGCTTTACTAAGACACGGGTATTTATATATATATATATATCGTTCCCTATCGCGTTATTATCTACTAAGTTGTTTGTTATAGAACAATATACCTCATCTAAAATTTACAATGTCTACAATTATATTCTCGAAACCGAAAATTTAAACATAATGGTGAGGAAAACAAACAATTTTTCTAATAAAAAGGCGATGAACACACAAACACGATATTTTCTAACTTGATGGGGCGCAGAAGGGTCAAGTGCAACCTGATAGGGCATTATCCAAAGCCCCGCCCCCCATTTTGCCACAGGTGCGAAATTATTTGAAAATGCTCATAGGCCGGGTGATTAAACATAACGTAAATTTAAAAGATTTTTTCAAGTAAATCAGGTTATTTTTTTCGATCATGAATCGTTTATGAGCTATAGTGTCAACACATACTTCATTTGTGTGATACATGTATCAAATAAATAAAAATAACCTTTTAACGTTTGTTAATTTTACATCTTATTTTGAAACGTGTAACTTTGAGATCGTTTAGTTAAGCCTCATGCTTTAGACGGCATATTTGTCTATCTTAAAAGCGTCACATTAGGGGATTAGATAATCTAATTATAAAGATAAGATAAGAGGTAATGGTAATGCAATACAGACCTGCATTTCCCAGCCCGGGGTGATTTCAAAAGTTTTCTTTCGTAATTCCCCTTTTCATTTATGTGAATATTATTTATTAACCTTGAGCAATCAATGGAATTTCCATAGAAAAGGATCTCATACTTATCATATATATTCCAGCCATCTTGAGCTCGGTTAATTACAATATGCAGTACTGTACGATTTCGAGTCTCTCATATCTACTGGAGAAAAAGACTGAGTTCATGCTAATCTGACTCAAACTATCATTTATACCGCAACGACATGTACAAAACTGATAGATTGCAGAAATTAAAATGGATGTATTTTTGTCACCGCCGTAAAATAATAATAACAGCCCAGCAAAGATCAACGAAAAATGTATTTTTGACTTTGTATAAGTTTGTAACTGATATAGAAAAAATATAGTGATTTTGTTGGGTTGGATTAGAAAGTATCTGACAAGTACATACAAAGTGCAGTCAGAGAAAATAACCTAATTAACTTACGTTTAAATTAAGACATTGGAAAACAAAAAATAGGTGCTAAATGAAATATGAATGCAGACAACACTGTCTCTAACAGTAATATGAATCCTATTGACATTCACACAATCTCAACGGGAGTCAACGCAATATATTATTTTTGTACATATTATGATATTAAAAAATAACTCAGAATATTATAGAAATAATTGTCCTATAATATTTACAGTTATTGCAATGAAATCACGATTTACTTTGCAACTAGGAGAAAAATTAATCTGATTGATTAATAACCATAATCGAAAATCCACTTTATTGTGAAATATTCAGCAAGGGCGCGCGGCTCAAATTATTATTGAAAATTCAAAATATTTCATTTGTAAAATTTCCCGATTCTGCGCTTCTTTATGCACGAGTCGATCGAGTCAAATAATGAGCGATGAAAAAACATCCTCTTTCCGCCATGACAGGTGATAGTCTCATGGAATAACTTGAAAGAAAATGGATATTTATACGCTAAACCACAATTAGTCATGGCTCTGTCATCAAAATGTGAGATTTTATCAACCATATCGGTAAACAACTAAATGATCATGTGCTTAAGAGGTAATGAGATGATACACTAACCAGTTTTACTAGTACAAGGCATATATAACACAACCTTATAAACCGGTGAATCTATAAACGAACGATAGAACCAAATTATAACAAAAATTTTCCTTTGGCTGCTAAATAGGACTTAGATAAGTGTTGGTGAAATAACGATATTAAAATAGCTCATTCTAATTATGTAGACAGAATTATGAGAGCAGTTATCACGATATGGATCACTAGGTCTACATTTTATCAATTAATACTGTCAAATCAGTTTTCCTATTACAATAAACTTGTCAGAAATGATTTACAGAATCTCCAAATATTCGCCATGAGTTTGGTAAAATTCAATGATTCTAAATAGCACCAGAACTCTGAGTTGCTCCAAAAAAGGCGCAACTATCGTGAATTTTAATCTCAGCCGAAGCGTGGAACAAAAACAAAAAGTGAATTTTTTAAAGAAATATCAAAAACCTGCATAATTGCATACACCAAATAAAGAAATTTGATTAAGTTGTACCATCCACAGCATAATGAAATTTACCAAACAACAGTGTTTGCCTTGTCAGGCTTCACAAGTTCAAAAAGAGAAGATATTTTAACCCATTTTAAGAAAACAGGACCTCAAATTAACCACATGATAAACTGGAAAGTGACGTTATGCATTATGTTAGGCGGTAATTTCTGGTTGTCGCATTTGGACAGAAGGTGTATTTAAAAAATAATTTTTTTCTGATAAATTTTATTATTTTTATTTCTCTGAACTGAACATCACAAATCGAGAATATAGATTTATACAGTCATAAAGAGTTTTTACATAAAAACATAAACACATAAAAAATAATTTCTGATAAATTTTATTATTTTTAATTCTCTGAACAGAACATCACAAATCGAGAATATAGAATTATACAGTCATAAAGAGTTTTTACATAAAAACATAAACACATAAAAATATGCATGCTTTTTGTGTAAGGATCGTTTCGTCATTCAAATAAAGTTAAAAATTCAAACTATGTTTGAATTTTTTTTAGATAATTTCTATTTTTTGGATACTAATTTTCGTCAAATTTAGGAGGTGTTTTATTGAAAAATAGACATTTTCAGATTATTCGGAACTGAAGCGAAAGACACAATAATTCTTGCAAAACCCTTATCATTAATATTTCGAGTTTTGAGTGAAGGTTCGTAATTTGTAACCTTGCTGAAAGCAATCCTACCATAAAGTATGTTGTGAAATTTACTAAATTCGTCTTGCATTTATGCTAATACAAAAACAGTTTTAGGGTACAGCGAATATCGTAGGCGAGAGCATCTACCAATTTACAACTGTCAGATATTATCTACCTTGAAGTTTATTGCGCCTTCCTGAACTAAAAGGTGTAGGTTGTTTCGTACCGGTAGGCAAAATATGAGTTGGAAGACTTTTGTGGTTATACAATTAGAACAAATTATTTTTTACTAGTGTGATGGATCGTTATCGTCTACAAAACTCTCTAGGCGAATTATGACTGTAATTTGTGTAACAAATATTACGATTCGACCAAATATGATAGCATTAGGGTTTTCTATGAAACAGACTCGAAAAAGTCGTAAATTTTACAATTTTAGCAAAAATTAACAGATTGCATAATAGGCTACCGCAAGTACTTTCCAGTTATTGCGTCTAATACTCGTTCTGTTATTTTAGCAATAGACTGATCATATTTCGCTTGCGTGAATCAGGCTAATATCTGACGTTTATTAGGGGGAACGAAACTAATGAGAGCAATTTCTAAACAGTGTGACCTTATAAAATGCGATAATTCTGCACTTGAACTTCTGCTTGGTTTCCCTAAGAGAGTTTTGAAATAAGCCTTAAAGTATGCCTATGAAGTTAAAAATATCCCGACCAGTTAAATATGCGTAATCATCTTTGCATGAATAGGCATGAAGGCATGAATGACGCTTAAATTATTGTCGCCGAAAAATTCTGTCGCCGTTCTTTGTCTATATATGGCAATACGTCAGATATAAGTTTGCATACAAGTTACAACTTGGCGACATAATAATGTACTGCCAGGGTAAAAATAAAGAGGGACAGATGGGGCTGCAACCATAGGCATCATGGAATATAGGCCTACCGATGCCAATAAACTAAGAGACGACGCTTCAGTGATTTTTGCCAAAAATAGATGGTAAATTAACCCAAAATTGACCCTTCGTATAAAACAGAATGAAATTTTAGAAAAATAGACACCTATGATGGTATTAAAACCTCTGTTTTGTCCAAGTCCAGAAACATGTTATTTTATACTTCGTACGTGTGTATGTTTTACTCAGGTCGGCTGATTTACAATGAATGGAATGGAATATATATAAAAATTTGGTTGCAGTATAGCTCAATCCGATGAAATTCCTGATCCGATCCTAATAAAGCTATGATAACCGACATCGTGAGATAACGATGGTTACAGAATGTATAAAAGCAAGAAAAAAAGTAGGGAAATATTTCACATGTAAATTAATTAGTACTATTTAGTATTCACAATGCTCACCTTTTCAATGGCCCCACAGTGAAAGTTTTATTATTGAACGGGCCATCTGTATTTGAAGCAACTGTGTCAACTTTCTTGTACGCTTTCGCTCTCCATGGAGGGAAAGTACTGGAAGCTACATCACTATTACTTTCGTAATAATACAGGTTGAACGTTTCGCGGCAATATTTTGCAGATTTGAGAAGAGGATTATCGCACTTTGTGATTGAGAACTCAATTTCAATGTGCAAACGTTGATTTTGCCTGAAAAAGTGACAAGTTTTAGTTTGACACCTAATCTATTCAAGAAAATCCTAATCATCGAACAAAGAATAAAAATGTGATGCCGAGGCCTGGAGTGATGGCGGTAAGCATTACGAATATATAACACACCGAAAGGGAGATTGTGATGTGACATTGCTCTATGATACAGTTTCCCCACGGTGCTCGGAACGAGGCTTTGTATCAGCATCCACCCAGGCAAGCCCATCTACTACGTACGAACTTGTAGTAAGCTAGGAATCAGGATGAAGGTCCATTTCAATGGCCTGCTTCGTATAAATTACAGTTTATCAATTTAGTTGGACTCGTCAGATAGACCGTAAGACATGTCAGAACTTCAAATCTAAATCCTCGACCGAATGCCCGGATAGTCATGCCAACGCGATGGCAAAAAGAAATTTTTATTATTGTAATTTCGGGATGGATATGAAAATATGAAAGTGTTGTAGGCAATGACTGAAAATTGATATTGCTTCCGGTGATAACAAGAAAGTTGTTGTACAACCTCGTATAATAATGATCATGGAGGAATAAAAATAACACTATTCTTACGTTGCCGGTATAAAAGTTGTTCTCAACCAGTTATCCTGATTTGGAAACGAACTCTTGCATACTTGATAAGTTCGAACTGTTCGAAGTTTTTCAGGATTGAATCCACTGACTTCTTCCCACTAAAAAATAAACATTTCATTATATGCATTATCTTCTTTCGCAGATTAACAGTCATAAAATATGAAGCTTGTATTAGAACTTACAACCTTCGGGTATATATTTAGGGGGGAAACCCGTTGGTAATCTATTATAAATTATTGAGTGATTCGGGTGAATTATTGACCAAAATTTTGGGGTAAGGAGAAAGATTTGTGCCAAAATTTAAGTGAAACAAAATTTATAACAAATCTTAGTTAATTACACTTTTATACTATTTTACCGTTATTTCACTACGATCTTATATAAGTCATATTTTGTAAAGTGATAGACACAAACACAATTCATATATTGCATAGTATTAGTATAATATATTCAATCGATCACTCCAATCTTCCACTGGAACCAGTACTTGAGTAGAAGGACCGGCGAAGGTGCAACAGTACTAATCACCAGAGGGATATGCGTTGTGAGGAAAACATGTTTAGCATTTCATTTCAGAAACAAATCCAACACGACAAACTTGTTAATTGAAGCGAAATTGGGGCGATTCAAAATGACCACTTCAATTTGTCGAGTACGTTGATAAGTGCATTCCGTCGAAGTTAGGAAATACCAAACTGAAAGTATCAAACACTCAGACCTTCTCACATCTGTCAAACGCGATACCGGCGCTTGATGTTAACAAGAAACAAGTTTAAATTACCAGTGACCAACTAACGAAAGGCAAAGTCGATTACATCTTATCATTCATTTCTTAATATTCTAATAATTTCTAAACATATTTTATTCAATCATATTATGTTTCAAAGTAACTTGTGTAATTCACAAAATAACAAATTAAAAAAATACATTCATTTCGCATATTTAAATTTAAATGAATCCTAATTAGTGTTCGGAAAGTGTTAGCTGTTGTGTCTATGTGTTTCAAAATACAACTGTATCTCCACAAAAGCAAAAGCATCGCTCAAACATATATGGACATCAAGATCTAACGACTACCGCAGCTCTGTTACGTGAACATTAAAAAGCTTCAAATTCAAACTGCAAAGAATACAAAAACAAGAGTCAATAATACCTTCTTAGCATAGAAGTGTAAGACACAACTGCGCAAAATGTATCCAGGCTCCAGGTAAATAGCAATTAAACTGTGGATAAGGCTGATAAACGATATGGTTGTGTTAACGAAAAATTCCAATAATTACACCCACAAATCGTGTGAACTGAATTAAATTATACTTAAAGTTTTATTAGAATAATTGTACAAAAGCCAAAAAAAATCTGGACTATACTTCTGAATTTCATGATGATTTCATTTCGAGTTTAGCGGTAAATCTGCGGTTTTTACAATTCTTGGGTTTGAAGTTATTGCGAGTAGAATCAGGCTATCGGTTGGTAAGAACAATTTATATGTCTGTTTGTCACAGTTTTCAATATTGTGTTATTACTTTGTTCTCGAGATATCATTTGAGTGGGCGAATCACACATACAATGTAAATATGCTCAACACACAACAAATGTATGTAAATCTTGTCCGAACACGACGCTTTTGTCACACACATTTACGAGAATCAAAAGGGTGGTTTGGCAAAGCATCTCATTTCCTATATAACATATTGGAATCGGCTAATTTAGAAGGAGAGTGCTTCAATATCATGCCTCACTTCACCCAAGGTAAATATTAGACAAAATTTCATTCATTTGTACGTATTATAAAATATATTACAAATATTGTTTGTTCGGTCATGCACATATCCTAAATTTTGCAACGTCATTGCGTTATTTTTCGTATCTTTCTGTTTTTACTGGCCCTGATTGGCCTACAATAAATTAAGCTAAAATTACGCTAGACCTCATCTAAAACGGTCCGTTTTTCGTCTTCACTCAACATACAAAAAGAGCAAATATCAAAATGCCTGGAATGCCACAGTTGTGTTCTGGCAGTAAAAATATATATGCGCGACAAGCAATTCACAAGCTGTTTCAACATAAGTTTTATGATGTTTTTGAGTTGTCATCATACCTGGGAGAAAGTCTGCAATTCCGAAAATGGTCGGTTCGCGATCAAAAGTGTATGTCAAAACAAAAAATTGTCCATTGAAGAAACGCGACGTATGTATAGTGTACGTATCATAGGAGGAATATGGATTTACATTGTCAAAAAGTCTTCGTCAAATACCGGCCAACGCACTCCCAAAAGGGCCGGAGCGCCATTCCACTAAGGAAATAGATACGCCTAACACTCCAATGATGTAATGCAAGAATGGCAAAATTTCAATTCAAGTTTAGACCGTGTTTAGCTTTTGTAGTAGTCATGTTGTACGCTTCTGTCGCGCAGCGATCCAGATGCTAATATTTCCTCACGATTTTTTAAGTATTCCGTTTTGTCGTTTATGGCGTTATGGAATGAACCTTTTCCCATATACTTCCAGCTAGGAGGAACATAAGACCTTTCACCATTTTGATTTTTGTTCCCAATCTCACAAAACTATATTAAAAGTCGGCACGTAAAATACATTTTTTCATCAAATAGTCGTAAATGTAGGAACGAGGTTCCTGTAACCAAGTCGCTACATTTCGTAATACAAACGGATGGATTCCATTTTGTTTTGGATATTATATCATCTATGTGTCGAGAACGATCTGCCCATTTATACGGTGTGAATAGAAAATGAGTGCGGACTATATTTGGACAAACAAGTTTTCAATTAAATAACAATCGTTTCATTTTATGGCGTAACAATACTCAATTCAACAATGCCGTAAAACACTGACGTCATTACGCATTCTTAGTGGTTTGGGGCGACTCCCTTGTATAACAGGAACGAATCCTATGGGATGGAATAGAACATTTAATGAGAGGCAATGCAGCAATTGGAATAGTTAGGAATATGAACATACACAATCGTTTATATTTTCTTCCAATTTATAATATATTCTTTCACGACGTTTTTTTACGTATTTCACCTAAAACAAGGCTTTGTATAAGCGCCACTGATATGTCATCAGATAATTTTGGGAAAGACAGGAATCTTTCAAGTTTGGCATTGCATACCCAATTTATTACAACCTGAGTGAGACGGTAGTCATGGGATTTGAACTGGATAACTTGCCCGAGAGTGTCTCTAATAACTACCACAAATTCACATACAACATGAAAATGAACCTCTTTATGAAATTGCGTGTCATAAGTCATACAAATCTGAACAGAAATCACACTTAGGTCCTAGTTGACAGATACTACTGTATACAATCTATCGGTGTGAATGTGTAAATCGAAGAAGTATATTTCGAATCGCATCAGTTTTCTCCATTGGTAGAGGCGGACAAGTGTTTAAAATTTGTTTTCAAGTATTTTTACCTGAGTTTTGCTCGGAAACAAAACCCTAGAAAAAATTCACTCGGGCGAACTACGACTGATAAATCCACGGAGATTAATAACTGCAGGCACGGGATGGCGGAAAACGTATGTCAGATTAATGTCTCTTTCGTTTCGCTTTTCACGCAAAAGCGACGTAAATTTCATGTAGACCGCCCAAATTGACAAACCTTGAAAGAGTCCGACCTTCCTCTTTGACGCGGTAAATTGAAAACGTTAGGAAATGACCTTTTTTCGATGTCAATTGTCTTACTTTCCAGTCACGCCGGCGTGCAAACACTAGTGTAATCTTATACGCAAAAACGAAAAGAATGTCGGTTACTACCCTTGCGAAAGGTAGATAAAGTTTGGGAATCGCAATTGTGAATATCGATTAAAAGAAAGATTTTTCCGATTAGAATGAAGTCAAATTTCCTAAATTTGGAATGATTCAGTTCAAAACGATAGCGAAATGCATAAATTTACATAACTGTCTATGTAACAGCCCAATCCCTTCGACGGAATCGACCGTTCAAACCACGATTGAGACCATGGCATATATATACTCCTATTATTAACGGTATTCTCACTTTGCGTATACATGCGCAATTCTTGAGCAAAAGGTTGCCTAAATTGATGGCAAAAAGTACGGGTGAAATTTCTATCAAAACCAGCAAAATTTGGGGTAAAGGAACGCGCCCGAATGTCATAAATATTTGGGAAAAGATTGAGAATAATATAGCCGCGTTATCGGTTGGGTAGTGGATAAGAAAACCAATTGTTTGTCTAACCGATAACACTTTCGAATTAAAGAAACGATGCACTTTCCTTAAAATCATGATGAAGACACAATCTCAGCACTTGCGTGTCAATGTGTAACCGCTGTGATGAATGATATATTATCCCATTCGACACGACGTCGTAAAAGACAATAAAATAATATATTAAATACATTTCACAAATCATTTCTCGATTTGACATATAAAAGCAATTAGCGTTTGTTATTTTAAGACTGTGAAGAAGAACCATAAAAAGTGACTAGCTTTTTACATTAAATTGAATGAGATTATATACACTGAAGAGGTGGACGAGATAGAGTCTCATATGATTTTAAGACCTTCGTTGTGTAGTCAAGTATGTTTCCGTAAGCCTGGGCCACAGATAACATGTTTCTCAGCGGAGTACTCTATCTATCATCGGATCACATTTGCCGTGGTATATTTACCTAAAATCTCATGCCTGATGAAAGAGATGGAGAGACTGATGCGAATGATAGTTCAGATAATTGGTCAAGTATATGCGAAATTCCTGATGCTGATGCCATATAAGGTTAAAGCACTATTGAACTTTACGACTTTTATTTGAGGCATGCAACGTTCGGTAAATACAAATAGTCGTAAAACAAAAATGACATAAGTGCATTATGTGCATTCTTTTCTTCAATATTGATGCTTTTATATTGATTGAAAGCCAACCATTACCGGAAATACGGTGCGACAACTTGTTTACTCGTGTGATCGTTTATATTTTTATTACTGAAGTCAAATCGATTTAACGTGTACAACGAAATATGATGAAACACGAGCAATATTTAAATCAGAATATATGATAATGGCAAAGAAATACATTATGCATGTAAAGGTCGTTCAGAATAAGAATTGAACAGTCGCCATTTGAATATCAAGTTGGAAATCCAATTCGAAATTAATGATATGATGGCAGAGGTCGGTCTTGCGTAATTTCAGCGGCGCTACTCTTTAAAAGTATAAATGATCCATAAGACGTACTTGATCAAATTCGCTTCCTAGTTTTAAAGTCATTGTATATCCCCACGTTCAGCTTGCTATTATTAAATTCTAACTTTGAAAGCACCGTCATCTCATTTCTGTGATTATATATACACAAGGTATGATGGAAAGTAAACAAAACTTGTGTAATTCTATTGCACAGTAGTGTGAACTCTTGACACTAATCATACATTTCGCTACTCCTCTTTTTAGAGAGTAGACTCTCTGACTGAACAGGACCGAATACAAATTAATATCAGCCATTTATCTGTAATATGTTTTGCATAAACGATAATTTAGAGTTCGTAAAGGTTTTGCACAAACTTTTATTGCTGGGTTAAAACTTAACCCCAATCTAGCGTGACCCTTGCGAGAACCTGTACCGATCTGTAAAGCCCATACCAAGTTATAATTCTAGATACATTTTGGTGTAATATTCTAGATTTTTTTTTTTTACTAAGATTTCTAAATTTTGGAATAATTACTTTGAGAATTAAGGTGTTATAAATACGATGTTATCACGAAACGAAGAATTTAGTTATTCAGTAACACAATTTACAACATTCGAAACCCAAATATTGTTTCACAAGGATTTTATCATAGCATATCAACACGTTCGTTTCGATCGACTCGACTTTGTGTACAGTTTACTCACAAACAGGGCAATATTTAGCTTAGGCAATTAACTGAGTGAAGTGGTCTTTTTGTAAATTTGGTACAGTTCTGCCGCATAGTTCAAGGCATTGTCAATATCAAATATAGCCAAGTCATCAGGTAGACGGGTGACTACGCCAAGCAATATAATTGTATCTATCATCAAGATATTTCGTTTGTTGATATTTCTACATGCCAAAAAAATCTTCATATATACTGCTATTACATCAAGTTTAATGTGAATTACTCTCAGTTATTAATTACGAACGGTTAGTGTGGTAATGATTGAGCGCGCCCTACCCACCTGGAGGTAATCGACCGTTACAAACATCTAAACGTTTTAAATGCCAATTTGATAATTGCACACGCACACAATGGCGTGTACAATTTTGAGGGTTTTCAAATGGGAGCTCTTAGACTTAAAATGTCGTTGTCTATCCATAAGGTGGCGTTGAAATCAGGATGCCGCTAACATCGTGAGTACCGGCGATAACCCATGTAAACTTGCCTAGAACAAGTGCGCGAACATGCTTACTTGAATTTATTAATCTACGTAATTCATGAAACTGGTTATACGGAACAAATTCGAGAAATTGTGTTAAAAATGTCCAATCTACTAAAAAACATGTCGATTTCTGTTTAACTTTGAAAATTGATAATCCTGTAGACTCATCACTAACGTGGTTGGGGTTTTAGCATTATTGGCTTTCCGCTATTGTGAATGAGTTAGAATAAAAGGATTGCCATTTCGTAGAAATCGGTTTTGCGGTTTAAGTGAACAAAAGAGAAAATCTAAAACAGGTCGTTGAGCAATTTTAGTTTCACAAAAGCTTCGTTAGCGCTCGTTCACTCATACAAAAATGAAAAAAATGAATGGTGATTGGTGATCCAGTGCATGCTGATGAATTCGTTTTATCATAAGTCATATACAATAGGATCAAATTCCTAGAGAGCTTTCTTAAGCGCTTTCGGTTTTAATTATATTGGGGTCACGATTAGAAACATTTATTCCAAACCCAATGTTCACTCTGGGGCCGGGGCAATACATTGGCAGGTAGGTATATGTTGAACAGTCTATCAAAAACGCGATCTCCTGCGTATCAGTATAATATACAATGATTTTCTGTGGCCTTGGCCGAGGCAAAATCGCTATCAAAAACGTGAAAGGACGTTCCATTACCTAATATTCGTGTTCAAAAGTACTTGATCAAAAATATTCAAAATTTATATTCCCATATTTGATACACGCCTCACACATATTAATAATTGAATATATTTTAATAGAAATATATAACTGGTTTGAATGGGGAAAATTGTATTATGCCATTGAATGACTCTGGTTAGTGGTTAATAATTAAACCGAGTGCTCAAACCGCATCGACGTTGGGAAAATTGCCTGACCCAATGTTCCTAACTCCACATGGTGTAGCAAAGCAAATAAAACTGAGTACAACATATGTTAGTGGTAACGTTAGCAACATATTACAAAAGGATTACGACACATTTCAGTGTAACCTGAAAAATGTGCGATTTCGGACGAAAACACACTATTTTCTATTACATCATTGATAGCAAGGGCAATTACGGTCAGTACAGTGAGGAATATTAGTGTGCTAAATATGGGGAATGCTGTGGATCGACTTTAGTCTCATTAAATACGTTTATATGGCAACCTAAAGGATAGGCGGAATAATAACTTCACTCTGTCGTTCAAATTTACGCGTGACAGAATTGTTTTTAGGACGTATGGGTGTATTGAATTTTTTCATGCCTGGCTTTTAGTAACTACTATTCTGTTGTTGGACAATAAATGTCTACTACAACCCATAAAAAATTAATAACAAAAGTGGCGATTATATTCGGCGTCGCTATCTACAATTTCCTCAAAACGGTGTGGCATATTCAATTTCAAACAGTTCACCTGCTGAGCTTTGAAGCTCGAAATAGTGGTTAAGTGATAATAGCTAAGCCTGTTATCTGGGTCTACAAACAGGCGCTCGTCGTGTACAAACAATGACCACATTCCATCTTAGTAAAAACGACAGATCTAGGTGTTAGTTTGATACCACTGATCGTCCAATAATCTACAGGGTAAACAAGGATGTGATGTCCCGACTTAGTGTTGAATTTCATTAGTATGTATGAAGAACTTTAAAAAAAATCGAGAAATTGACTCGAATTTTATGTAAATGCAAGTCACTTATGAGGAGGACCCGTCAAAAACTCACCGTAGGCCTAATCCACACACAACTTACAAATGTAAGGGACTAGAATCCTGCAACTGAAAAGAGACATAGCAATCTAGCAAATTTGTGGAGCATTGATAAAAAAAAAACGGTCAAATATTTTAATTTGTTTGTGTCAATCGCCAGTACAACATTATCACAAATCCATATCATCTAATAACATATTGCTTCTTACGAATCTCTCATATCATACGGTCAATTTGCGATTTGTTGAATGAGTGAACAATCTCGTATCTACAACTAAGAGATCTGGTTCACATCCAAAACAACATTTGAATAAAATTATTAGTCATGAAAGACAGAGAATGAGATGAATGAATGTAGAATGTTCGAATCACAAAATGAGAACAAGTAATTGAGCCCCAGATCGGTTCTTTGCGATAAGCACTATGACCGACAGGCATATTTCAAATGGCTTTCAACTTAGTTGATATAAATAAAGAAAGTCTTGCAGAAAATGTCTACAAAAATCAAAGTTTATACGTTATACCTCTATTATTTTTAATCTATATATTGTAAGAGGGAAATTTTTGGCGATTTACCAAAATGTAATCACTTTGGCACCAGCAACAAATAGATTAGTTATATAAGTGAAAAATTAAAACGTTACATCGTGCGAAACGCCCGAGGTTCAAAGTAATAAGGTCAAGCAAAATTAAGGTAAGTTTTGCCGTGTTTTCTTTGCTTAAGCTACTCATTGAAAACGTCCATCGGCTCAGCAACTAACTTCTATTTGTGTTCGGTTTTATATTAATCTGTTTAATCTGAATCATAGGCAGGCGACAACGAACTGTGTTTTGTAGCGTGCAATTTGAAGCATGGTTACCATGGTAATACTTTGTTATTCTTTTTAAAAACTAATTTGAAGCAGTGTGGGACAGACAGTCAAGCCGAGTCACCCAGTCAATGACTGGAGCCTCTCCAACACTGGTTTAAAGTACAAGCGAATCATGACCTACACACAAATCAATCGATTTTTGGTTTTTCTGTCTTAATACTATTATGCTATTAATATTTGTACCACATGTTACACAACTTTCAAATTCTCTCCAAAGCTAAATTATACAGTCATTCCTCACTTGGTCCATGTTTTTAAAGGTAAAACATTCTCGAAGTACTTACCCCAACTGAAGTCCATCTCAAATCGCTTGTTTTCTGCTTTGTTGAATATAATTCACCTAAATAAAATAGATTGCAAATGATCAGTTAGTTCTATGTTAAACCAAATAAATTGACTCAAATGATGAATCGTACATGTTTGATATTCTTTCAAAGTTCAATGAAATTTGGTTTTAGAAGAGGCCGACAATCATACCTCAAACTCGATTTCAACTTTTAGACATAACTGTGGTTATGGTATTCAATACCTATCAGAAGTTATGTTTCTGGGGTTCAGTCTCGAAGTGTGTTTTAAAAATTACGTGGTTTATAAATGTTCTATATCTTTGCTTTGTAAAATATTTCTATTTCGTACAGTTTGAATGAGTTAGATTTTTATTAAAATCACAATGTATGGACAAATTATATAAAAAATTCGATATATGAATAAAAATTTTACCTGGCAAATCGCAAATAATAAATAACGAAGTAAAATAATAGTAATTATAGTAATTATATGAATTGTTCATAAAACCCTATTTCCCATCTATTTGAATACATCGAATTTTAGTTGAGATTCTTTTTTGTATCCGTGCTCAGAATAAATCAATTCCTCAACAATACATCGAAAACACGATGGTTGTTTATTGAGAAACTGAAAGTGCTGTTGGTTGTGGTAATTGGCTCAGATGATCGGAACTTAAAAACACAAATGGTGACAAGGTGTAACGTCGATTCCTTTAATATTTCAAAATTTAACTTGGCGGGTTCGATGGTTAAAATTCATGTCACTTCGTTGAAGTAGTAAGTCAATGTCGCGGTCCAGAAATTTGAAGACATCAAAAAGTTCAACGTCAATTTTATCATTTAAACAACTCCTTTCAAGATACGAGGGTCAATTTCACGCTATTACCTGCAAGTGAACGTGATTTATGACAGGTACCACCGGGTTTAACAAGTAAATATTCAACAATGATTACCAGGTTTTATATAACCCGAAATAGCGGTAACAGTATTTACAAGAATGATCGTTCCACGAAGCGTCAATTGCAAACTGCGATTAAGCTTTTAATCCTTACCAATATCCAGAATGGTATGGAATTTTATATACATTCGGAATAGAAAGGAAACGGTGGTTTTATTAAATATATATATGGAGAACCATGAACTCTAGTTGGTTATTACTTATTGCTAACTAAATGAGCAAACAATTGCGACACATGGCAGCCATTAATAAATTTTGATATTTAATATTTGCACCCTGCTACGTTCGAGTGAAGTCAACAAGCTTTGTAAATTTTGGATCTCAATCTTCCACTTGTTGATATAAACAGGGTCAAAGATGATAAAATAAAAGAATTACAAAATTCAGCTGTTGTCAAGGTAAATTACATTCAAACTCAACTAAAATAGATCAGTTCTTTATTGCAGATGAATAAAAATATATTTCAATAAAATGTCGAATAATTTTCGAACAATAGATATTAACAAGGGTAAGTCTAGCGTCATTTTATTTTCCCATGGTGGCGACATTTTCCAAACAAAAGTTTACAAAGAATTTCAAACGACAATGTGTAATACAACCAAGTGTGGTCAATAACGAAAGTAATTTGACCCGGAAAAGGCTTTGTGATTGTCCGTTTCACCGTTATAATGTCTCATCACGTAATTCTATTTTATCTGTAGTAACATAACACAAATTTCTCAAATTAAATGCTGGAAAATCGTCAGTCGCACATAGGCGAAAAAGTATTGCGACACGGCGGGAAACAATAGCGTTAAGTTCGGGCAATAAACGAAAAAATGCCGCAACACATAGATCGAAAAATACATGTGATGAATAGTACGAAATCGGGCATGAAATTAATGTTAATTACTCACGTATATCACAGTGTGAAATTGGGATGATAGTTGAAAAGCAAACGGCAGTTAGAATGACTGTCCTGAGGTAAATCGGTGACGGGGCCATGTTCTTGTCTGCCAAAGTCCTTTATCGCAATATGCAGTTCAAATAAATAAGTGGAGTAAAATCCTTCCTTTGGAGCTTTCGTTCTATCCACTATCCGTATTGCGCAATGATTGCAGTATTGTATATTCCCGGGATAAGGATGTCCTGATGCGAGTATTTCGTAATACTCCCAAACACAAGCAGCTTATGACATAGCAACTAAACTGAGTAAGCGTATGGGTAATACTGAATATTTCTGAAAATATAATCACAATCTAGAATTCATACCATGCAACGGCTCACTTATTGTCGCCCTGCTCTCTGACTCTGTGAAGCCGACGAACTGATTTACCGTAGCCGAATAAAGTATTTAATAAAGTACTAATCTTGTCTTGAATCAGAATGATCAAGGATACAGTTTTATGGGTTATTAGAAAGAATGAATTGCTTCTAACAAACGCCTTCGACGGGTGACACGCGCCTGCCGCCAAACACGCGAACCTGCCTAAACTTGTCATTCCGAAGCAACGAAACGATGTTTGACTATCGTACAATAAAGAAACAAGGGACTCATATGAGAAGAAAAAGGAGCTAAGGAGAGAACTGGCGATATAATAGGCGAAAGCGATATCGCGTACATAACAATAACGGGACATTACATAGTAGTTGGATGTTAATCTGGTAAGACTCTGCTATTGTAGGTCGCCTTGGGGCAAATTCCAAAACGTACAAGTTCAAACCACATTAGTATTAAGTTTTTTTCACAAAATAATCGCCTCACTTCTCGACTGGAATATGAGTGTTTGGGCTATCATTTAGAAATGTTAATGACGGTCTGCTCACTTACAGTGACTGCTGCATGTGGAATAGAGTCGTCTAGTAACAAATGGATATACAGATAGATACCTATATAAAATTCAAGATTGAATTTCAGGTACCTTTCTAGATCTTCAAACGACACATCGGGCCACGCGTCACACAAAAACACAGAGCGTTCATTTAGTCCCATTACAATTTCATTTTTGTTATGAAGTCAATTCTAAATATATTTTTACCGATTTTTATTTTAATCAGTGTTAATTTAAGTTTTTATACATCTATAAAGACCAACAAACGATAGTATCGCTGAAATTTATTGTTGTTTTCAGTCGTATCGAAATTCGCAGTACAGCGTTGACGAAGAATATTATTGCGTTAATATTTGCGCAATATCCCTGCGACATTCCCATTTGATTCTGTCGGCAGCCATAGAATCACACACTCTTACTGATATTTTATTTACTTGTGTGTCTAATGTTATTCTCTTCATACTGTTCCTATCTTTTTTTACTGCCAAACTTCAAACTATACTAGAACAGGCTCGAATATACGTCCTAGAGAAATTAAAAAAATACACACAAATCTGAAAGTTTTCTAATTATCTCTACTTCTATGCTTTATCACTGACGGAAATTGTTTTAGATAGTATTTTCTCTATCGTATTGCCAAATGAAGGGTTTCATAAATACTTTTTAAATAAATTTATCACAGTTAAGTTTAGTTATAATTCATTGTTTTAAATAATCATCTGTGTGCGATTAAAAATTTTCACAGTCATCGCTCAACCTTAATTTAATTTTTCATACGATATTATAATATATTGCATATAGTATATGCCATATACTCTGCGCAAGCAACTTGAATATATCAAAGCCCTCGCTAAGTGTGCTGTTTTAACTTAATCCTAAACCAAAAACAGTAAGCAATTTCCCAAACATCAAGCATTGGCCATGGTTGATAGGGGCGCCTGTAATATGTACTTCTCTGTAGATGACGTATGAACAACAAAAAGGGTGTAAATCACACAGTGCTATAGCGCCTTTCTACGGCTGGACAGAAAAGTTGGAAAATGTATTTTTTGGAAATAGTTCTCATACACCACCTCGCGAGTATTTCACATAATTTAAAAACGATTTAAATTAAAATATCTAAAGGCCAGTCAGGCAAAGAACTTGAAATTGGTTTTTTGAGTCTCCAAGAAATGCAATAATTACATGAGATGACCTTTTGCGAAGTTGAGGTGACATTTATAACTGTTGGGCTTTTCTAAATTCTGCAATTATGAAAGGTTTAGTATCAAATGGGCAAGCTACAAATGACCCAGAAGCTGAAATATTGGATTATTCACTTGTCAAAGCCAATACCAAGTCACTTTCAGTAGCTTATTTACTCTGTATTTTCTTTGGAATATTTGGTCTTCATCATTTCTATTTACGTCGTTTGGGTTACGGATTTACCTACACAGTAACAGGTGGATTGTTCCTTGTGGGATGGATTGTTGATATATTCAGGTGATAAAATTATTGTGATGTATGAGAGACAAATTTTGAAATTATATGTCAGACTTATTATTAGTTTATTCATGCCATTTTACTCAAATGAATAAACCTGATTGGTTGTGAAACAATCTCAAAATGTTGAAGGTCCAATTAGTATCTACATCAAATTGACCTATATTTTCAATTGTTTCAAACTTTTTAACCATGGTTTAATTGTTTAATATATCATTTGTTCAATTCTTTGATACAAATTATTTTGATTGTATTATTATAGCGAGGAATACAATTACTGAATATAAATCATATTTTATAATAATAACCATTCGATAGAACCGTAAAAGTTTTGAACCCTAATCAACCGTAGTGGCATTTGTCATGTTTGTGCAATTTCCAACTCATTGCATCTTTTATATTCATTCATGTATTTCCCATTGATCTTGTCGCAGGTTGCCATCGCTCGTTCGAAACACAAATGATAAAATTATTCGATCAAATCGTGATGGAGTAAGTCTAGATGAACTTGAAAAGGAAAGACATCTCTCAGATGCATATGTTATGTATCTTCCTCCATTTGGATTGTTAGGTGAGAAATTAAGTATATATTGCAATGAGATGTGAAACAATCTATGATAGCATAACAACTTTTCCACTTTTATGTGAAGCTACTTGCTATAAGCAATTTTTAGATACATTGACGGGGCTGTAAATTATATTTACTCTCATCTGAATGTTGTAAATTTGTTGTTGCTCATCATACCTTACGAAACGATTCTTTAAATATTAATTTGGATTATTGGAAGACATTGATCCTCTGTATTGGTAAACCTTTAGATTAAATTTTAGGGGTCTGGTATAGTATAGCACCACAAGTACTTTAAGTGGGTGTGGCATAAGTTATCCTAACCCCCACCTGACTTTGTCATCCAAAAATGATGTCAGAATCACGTTATAGAGCTCGGCAAAGTATAGACGCGATCCCCCGAAATGGCGTCTATCGCATCTAGATCGCTACGATAATAGGGCGAGAAAATAAGAGGGAGTATGACTTTTTATACAAGGTAGCTTGCCCGATCCGGGTGAACGTCTGCGTGTTTCGGATGGCTTATCGTATATTTCGGTGGGCCCTGGTACATCACTGTGACGTTGTAATGATGTAATTCTTGGATGACAAAGTCAGATAGAGGCTAGGAATGACACATGCAAAAATTGTTTTGCCACATCCACAAGAAGTTTTTGTGGTACTATACTATATCAAACCCAAATTTAGTACTTATCAATAGACTCTAGAAAGAAATATATGATGAATTACGATAGGCCTATATGATTTTTTAATTGGCTTACTTTTTCGAGCATGCTAAAGTTGACAGAAACCGCATTGTAATAGTTGGTGATCAGTGTTTCATCATTTATTTATTATTTATTTAGCTGGTATTATTTAATTTTCAGGGTTTCATCATTTCTATCTCAACCGATTTGGCTTCGGAGCTTTATATTTCTGTACATTTGGGTTACTTGGATTTGGATGGATTCTAGATTTTTTTCGAATGTCTCATCTTGTTGCCCAAGAAAATAAAAAGCATCAAAAGGCATTGGTAGAGGATTTCATATTTTGCCACTTTTTATTGTTAGTAATTTTTGAATTCGCCAAATAAAATTTAATGTTTGAACCCTGGTGGGATGTTACCATTCCTAAAGTTATTGGTATTATTTTTTTACATTAGAATTTTTCTGATTGGGAAGAAGGTACTCATAGCTTCCTACTGTCTGTTTCTTCTATGTTTATTTACATTTTTCATAAAATATGGCGTAGCATAAAAAAATTATAATTTCAATTAAAAATAACTATTCGAGTGGAAAAAAATAATTGCCATCTATCTCCTCTTATAAATACTCACATATGACCGAGTATGTTTCTGGTTCACTATGGCAAATCAATTTATATAAAATTTAATAGTATGGTAAAATTCAATGAAAATTGAACAGTTGAATTATATTGTTTGAGTGTGGCTTTTGACTTTTGTTCAACTTTCCCATTATGAAATATCTTTCTCAATCTAATAATATAGATCAGTGATGGTATGTGATAGTACGCTGTAGTAAACAGTATTTTCAATTTTTGAAAATTGATATCCAGAACGATGCTGAAAATCAAGATGGTGAAGGAGATGCAGAAATTCCAAGAAAACCTCTGGTTGTTAGAAAAAGGTTGGACGATGCGATCGTGATGAGTTTTGGACCTGTTGGAATACTGGGATTTCATCAGATTTATCTTGGGAAGTAAGTTAAATCGGGGATGACCCCCATGGTGGGTCGTGAAAGGGCACAATGGGGATGGTGGTACCCATTATTGTCTGAACGTAGACACGCTTACCCTTACTCCTTTCGCCTCCACTTACGGGAATGTGTGTGGAATATCTTTTTCGACAATAACTCATGATAAAATAAATTACCGATTAAATTTTAAAGATTAGGACCCAGTACTGAGACCCACCTTTACCTAAATACAGCCAAATTTCATCTTTGTACGGGAATATGCAAGCAAATCCACCTCAATAATGTTCCTGAGTGATGCGAAAGACTGTGTTGTGTCATTGAGTTATTTTTTTCAATTGTATTCGTTTTCAGGTATAATAAAGATATGATATGCTTGTAATTTCAAAAGTCATTGGAATATCCAGTATTAGTTACTCTTAATAAAATACAAATTTATCATTTGAATTTTTTTATTCGAAAGTCTCTTTTTAAAGGCAATCCTTCCATAGTAAAATGTTTACCATTTGTCTGATTTTTTGAGTTTGCTCTATTGTTTATATGCTCTCAAAGTTGAGTTATCGTTAAATGAAGTATTGCTAAAAAGTAAGTTACCGTACATATGACATGCTATAATGTGATATATAATGTGACTAATAGGCAATCTAACATACCAGATTACTTCCTGTCTGGGTCTTTGTAGAATTGAGATAGAATATTGTGGTCAATGGCTGATACATTAAGCTAAGTCTTATTCTTCATGCATTAAATGCCCTGTATGGTGGTTACAATTTTGCAGGATGAGTAGGCTATGCGAGAGGAAGTTGCTTACTCTTGTCGCAACTATCTTTGGATACTGAACACAACTGCTGGTCGGTTACGTCTTCCTCCACTATTCAAGCGACCCACCCACTTGGCACGACCAAATTTTTTGTGACCCACAGTAACCTCAATGAGACCAATGTGCTTGCATATTATCGCTCAAAAGATTGAATCTTGGCTTTCTTTTGGTGATGGTGGGTTCCAGTATCGGTTTCAAATTGGAACGATACTTTCGTTTTAACAGAAGTTGGTGTCGAAAAATATTTTTCACACAGATAAGTGGAGGCAGAAGAGTAAATATGGATAGTTCTGACAATATTGGGTACCGCGACCCCCATTGAGCTTTGAACTGGATCAAAATGAACATAACTAGGAAGATTGTGATACGGACCTCTTTCTATAGCCTTCTGATTTGACTTTTTTTATTCTTTTTTTTCAGTCTTTTACTCGGTTTCATATACATAATTACCCTAGCGAACTGTGGAGTGTGTTGGATTGCCGATATGTTGAGAATACGACAACTTGTTCAAGAAGCAAACAATGAAATTGATGCTAAACCTGGAGGAATGAAAAAGAATTCATTACAGGCAAAGAAAATGATACTTTTTAATTACCGGTATATTTTATCAACATTCGTGAAAAGGGATAGTGTCAAATTGGACTCATCCATAAATTTTTAATTGTTTAGTTTAATCTAATTTTTAAGTTAGTATCCAAATACATTCAAATTACGGACCATAAGAGGCGCTTTAAAAACTTTTTTTCTCAAAAATCGATTGTGTGCCTGATGAGCCAGTGCGGCTAATGTAGGGATCAGGTAGTGCTGTATGCTTCATTGCCTGTGTTCAAAGTCAAACCAATACTGATTGCGCCTTATGTAATAATAAAACTCAATATAAGCAATTTATTGACAGTGCGGGTTGTATCCTGGTGTGCATTATGGTCCGTGAATACGGTAGTTAAACTTGGAATATGTAAATATCACTACAGTATTTTTGTTTACCAACAAAACTTAATAAAGTATGCATTTTATTATACAGGCATACTTGTTATGGCTTCCTCCAGCTGGATTGCTTGGTGCACATCAGTTTTATTTGGAACGACCATGTTCTGGGTTGCTGAGATCTGCAACATTAGGTTTATTTTTGTTTGGATGGATTTATGATTTCTTTAAAATCAATCATTGGGTGAATTCTCACAATCAAAAGCAGGAGTTACAAGAACGAGTGACGGAGGTCAGTATAAATAGTGTATCATACTCGATCGTTAAGGGTTGAAACTTTCAAAAGGAATGTTATCAGGTGTAGCATCAGATTTTTCAGACATTGAACTCTCGAATTACAGTTGCAATAGAAGACTTGAGACTCTGTTCTGATGTACACCGACTCTTGGTCTGACTCTGGTCTGCTCAAACTAGGGTCTCGACTAGGGCTAGGCATTTATGAATCGAATAGTAAATCATCTGAATCGATTCATACGAAAATTTTGAATCTCCACCATTTGTTTGGCAAATTTCTCAATTTTTAAAGGAAGATATTTTTTACTATGCAATTCTGACATAAGGAATATTTTCTTCCTAGTGAGTTATTGATGTAATATGTTTCTTACTGTTCATGACAACTCAGCGAACTGACAGCGTGATGGATTCTATGTTTTGAGTAATTTATGCGCCTGGAGGAGACATTACAATAGATTTAGAAAAGTCACATACTATCATTTATCTTCAAAGTGTTTGAGATTTGATTCGAAAAAAATATTTGATTCGATTCTGAAATCATCAGGTATTTGATAATACCCAACCCTATTCTCGAATCTCAACTAACACCCAAGAGATAAACAAGCTCGCAGCCTGGAGACATACATACAATATTACTTCAGTAGTTTTTTTGTGCATTCGATTCAGTTTATTGCATTCACCCAGAAAGATATCCATTAACTTCCTAATTAATGCTGAAAGTGCATTTGAGAAACTTTGATGAATTACGGTAGGTAACATCCTAGGGTTGTCTTATGAACTAGTTTTGTATACTACTAGCGCTTCACACATTTTATGGTCAGTTCCATTCCCTGTTTGCCAGTTGAGTTTCGTATGTCACTCCTATTACTAGATTCAAGCATTGTGTTATATTTTCAGATTGAGATGCAAGAGTCAACTTCAGATAGTAGATTGTCATCTACAACATCATTATCAGAAAATATGGGAGGTTATGATCCTGATATGATCAATCCATTTACAAGATATTGTTGCAGATGACGAGTCAGAATTAGCTTTTGTCACAATATTTGTGCCAATGTATGGATATCAGGGATAATAACAGAGATGCCCATGATAAATTAATTTTGTAGGAGTTCGGTTGGTGTGTGACTTATGCCTTATAACCTTGATCAGTAGCCATGACAAATTTCGCTGTTTGTGATTTCATATGCTGACCTATATACATCTCCGAGATTCCCACAGACTTGTTTCATTCCAATTTAAATAATATATAACTATATATATTGCTACTGAATTGAATGATGTTTGTTTTATTTCTGATAATGACACAAATGATTTAATATGCAAACAATTTGAATAGATGTGAGTAGCATTTTAACTTTCTTTTTCTTATTTAAACCACTTACCTATTTTACGGACTATAAAGTGATAAAGTAAAACTCTTGCAGCTTAGTCCTGAATTTTGTAGCATTATTTACATCACTCGTTATAATTTACAATGAGGAGCATTACTCTTATTATGTTTATAGAGTATGTTACTGAAACAAACACAACATTTTGTAATGTATAATATATAAACGCTTAGTTTTCATTTTTATATCGTGGTTTTCATGACGGTCACAAAAGGAATCATTCATTTTTTTAAGTTGTAAATTGATTTTTTACATTATACACTTGCACTAATCAATCTTTTTAACCTTGATTTGATGTATTATTTGAACAAACTTATGCAATAAATAGTTGATTCTTTATTGATGTAGATTTTGTTTCAAAAGCATCTCGCTTGGTAATAGTCGTGTATGAACAGATGACTAATTGTTGTAGCAGATAATCTCAGATTTCTTTGAATTTGATTCACTCAAAAACTGGAGGTGCATATGAAGCAAGTCAGTATGTTATTGAAAGCTGGATGATATATCTTGCAGCACAGTTCCAGTGCCTGTTGTAATGACTGGGATAGAGATACTAACTAATGCTAGCGAGTAGCGACATCAAAAAAGTTCATTTTTAGTGCACTTGTCTTGAGTTCGTGAAACTGAGCATATGAAGTGGAATTTGTGCTAGGCTCTGGGCTTAGGGTACATAAAATGCTTTGGCAGAACTCAATTCATATGAAATGATATTCTTACCAGTAGGATACGGCATTGATTCGGACACCCCATTGCTATTATTTTGATTAGACTACATTTGTCTATTATTTAGCTCATTGTCGAGCAACTGTGGTTGGTGACAGCTCAAACTGAATATATGGTTACTGCAATAAAATACCCAACAGTGCAAAAATGGCTAAAACTGAATATTTCACTATTCTGAACACATTATAACTTGGGGGCTGCGGAAAATTACATGAATCAACATGTCTTCACATCTAGAACGACACAAACACCATGGTCATGGATTCCTCCAGTTTTGTTTGTTACCGGTTGAAGTGTGTTTCAATCTGCTCATCTAACAGCTTCGAATGCTTAATTTTTCTTTTACTATATATAATCTAATGAATTTCGAATGTATTTTAATATTTGATTAGTTTTGGACATCCCTGATACCAGGACTAATTTATTCAACTCTCCCTGTTCACTGACACTTCAGTTTTTCAAAAGTAAATTTTGTCAGACCCAATAATTTATATACCGGAAAAACTACACTACAAACCTAATACCCATCATACATGTTTCGCATTTGACAAAAAATTTATTAGAAACAAGAGCAAAAAAAAAAAAACTGAGCAAGCATCTTCGTTTATCAAGATCATTCCTAAATAGGTAAAACTAAGAAACAAATAAAACCAAGCTTCAGCCTGTGGCAGTAACAGTTTGTTCCACAACAATATCCAGGCGTAAGACACTAACCATCTGAAAAACATCCGTCCCTTTCCGACTAGGACAATGCACATTCTATTGCGCAAGCAAGACTTTTAATTTGATGCGGTATTTAACAATTATGAAATGTATTCAAGGTTTTCACATACAATAAGCGATATTATTAAAATTCAAAATTTCAAGAAATGGGGGGAAAGATATATAAGAAACCCAGCAGATTATCAAAGAAATAATAATCCTTGAATTTTCAGTGGAAACCTATAAATTTTTTTGACTAAATTTTGGAACCCTAAGCCAAAATTGCAAATACCGTCATCATTGACTTACCTAAGTTATGCTATTCCGAGTTGTCAAAATTCACAACAATCAAGCTAAGGCGACTTTTTATCATAAATTATTACATCTAAGTCCTTAACATTGATTGACTTTTGCTGCAACAAAAACAATGTGCTCTTGCTTAAACAAAAAATCCAGTTTGAAGGAATACAAACAGACCTTAGCAATAAATATTGCTCTCTAGTACACACAGTGGATACCTTACATGAGAATAATTGAGCATGACGTTTAAACAAATTTGAAATAAAAATACCAAAATTCATTTTTTTACACAAAACTTAAATCTATGAAGATATTAGTAAAAATCATTCATGATGATACAAAATAAAAATTTTGACAAAAAAAAAAAAATTTCAATTTTATCTGAATGCCATGTATGGATGAAGCTTGTTTACCAGGAATAAATTAGCATTGGGATCTTACCGAGCATGGGCTGTAGGTAAACCTACATATGTGAAACTGTTTATAGATGGCCATGCTTGATTGTTGACTGTCAATTCAAACACTGCCCAAACAACGATAAAAAAATCTTTAAATTAACCCTTCATGAAAATTCAAAAATAAGTTTCAAAAAAACGCAACATTCCTTTTCAACCAACTCTATAATGAAATTGAACAAATATCGCTAAATTTCTTTAAATGATATTGTAAATAAACTTCATGTCATTGTCATTTTTTCAAAAAAGTCATGGTGAAAAAATTAAAAAAAAAAATTAAAAGAAAACGAACAGCTAGGAACTTTGCAGTGCCATGGAATTCTGGTATTCTCCTCCAGTCAACAATGTTTTGAAACAAATTCTTCACAAAATGGCTTTCTGCTATTGATAAAGATAATCTATTTCAATCAATGGCTTTCAACATCAGCAATAAACAATATTTCATCCATTGCTTCATTTTGTCTCACGATCAGTACCATTAACCATATGATAATCTCTACCCAAATGACGTCCAAACGATCGACTGATAGACTAAAAAAGAATTAAAAACTTTAAATACATCATTGAAGAGATTTTAAATGGTAAAATTATGAATCTCATCGGGAGATACAATTGCTGCGCTAAGATAACCCCTAAGATGACGAGAAGCAGTAACAAAGATGACGAGAACCAGTACAAGCAAAAATATTATGAAAAACTATTGAGTAGATTCGATTTAGAAAGTAGGAAGAAAACAATTCATAATACGGTGGTTCTCAGACTTTCAGGATTTGTGGCCTATATGCGATACATTCAATAATAAAAGTCTGCATTTCAGTCAATTGAACAATTTATGTATACGAACAGGAAAACAGCAATAAATGAGAAAAAATTTGTAATGAGGCTCAACTTACTCTTAAACTCCTCCGTGACCTTCTTGTTTGGTCGGTTGATCGAATGAAAGAATAACTTAATGATCCACCACGTTTTTTGAGAGACGATGATGAAGTTGTGTTGTTACTGAGACCATTCTCTTCTTTAAATGTTTCCCTAATCAAGTACAATTTTTTGCATAAAGGTAAGAGATAGTGTAGCCCCCCTTAAAATTTAGGTCCAATGGCCCCCAGACGGTAGCCACTGATATAGAGAAAATTATATAATACTGTATCAGACGAAGCTGCAGAAAGCAAAAATCCTGACAATCATGATTATTTCCATCCCCATTAGGTAGCTCTGTGCGAGTGTCTAAAATAAGTGTCTGAGTCTATAGACAAGATACCCCAAAAAATAAATAAATGTTTTCAGTTACCTTGCAGGTCGAACTAACGCATCAAACTCAGTTGCCAGATGTCGCCTGAGTATTGTTTTTGAAGAAGGAATTCCGAGAGCAGTGGCAAGATCGTCAGAATTGAACGATGTGTCCAGAACAAGTAACGCACCATGAACACCACTTTCACGCAAATTGAAGGCATATTCTACAAAGAAAAAATGTCATCTGTAAAATCAGCCAATATCAGAAATTGCTTAAACATGTATTATTCATGATTATCTATTATCTAATCAGAAAATCAGCAATAATATACCTTTGAGATCAACAGATTTGGCCCATTGTATAAGTCTATTATTACTCCATACAACAAGATCAGCATCACAGGAATGGCACATTTGTCTGCGTTCTTCCAATCTCTAAAACAGATATAACAACATTAAACATACAGTCCATGAACGCTTTCCTCTACCCTTGACCCCTGAAAAATTATCTCTATATTTTACCATTGCAAAATTTTCAATGCTTATTTTGAGAGTGTTTTAGTGCTCACAAACTGGCTTTCTTACCTATTCCGAACTAAAACATTAAACAATATGCTGTTCACAGGTACTAATAGCAAATCTTGGGTTAGGCTACTTAAATAAGGCATAATCGTACTGGGTGGAACTAATTATTATTTAAGACAGATGGCAATGCATCTAATAATGTCGAATTTACATAAAAAAAAAGGTTTACAGATTAAATATTCTCACAGTAACAAGAAATTAAAATTCCTGAAGCCTGTAGCAATGAATTCAATACACTGGCAATTATGAACTTTGATCTGCCTCAAAATATTTTATCACCTGATGTTAATAATTTGAAGATCTTAGTTTAGCAACTCTTCAGAAAGTTGTTATATTTTCACCTCAGTAAAAGTTTCAAATGAATTGTCCAAAGGAATGAAGTTAGGAATCTTTTGCTAATCTTGGCTAATCTTTTCTCACCAGTTGAGCATAATAGTGCATGGCATACCTGTTTGTCAAAACCAAGCATTGATAGCAGTTCAATTCCTTTGATTATGGAATCTTGATGCCTCTTGCTGTCTATGCCAAGATGGCGTTCGAGATCTTTTCTTGTGAGACTGTTCAATACTCGACCATCTACAAGGTTTTCTCGGAACTTTGATGCGTATTGAGATAAACCCACGTCTCGCATCCAGTGTTCACTAACCCACCAATGGTCAAGCTGACCCGCAGCTGACATGGTACTGTAAGATTACAAAATTTTGATAACGAGAATGCAGGAGAGTGAAGTTTTGGGCACACAGCTCAAATGTTATTAAAAGAATTGGACCGAATGTCATACGAACATGTTCCCATGAATTGTAAAAAATTAGCAATATTGGGGATCAATATTGTGTCTCCCCGAGGGTGTCTTGAAAAATATTTTAAAAAAAAACGAATCCAACTCTTTTTCCATCTCCAAGTGCTTAAAATTTGAAATTGATTTGCTTATTGGTTGCAGAGCAAAATGATTTTTTTCTAAATCAATAAACCTAACAAGAACAACAACAATTTAGCAAAACGTTCCATGGGTTTACTTTCTGTCCAATAAATTAACACATAAAATTTATTTTGTTTGAACTTTTGTCATTATTAATAATGGAAGGTAGTGATGATTTCTCAGAGAGTTTTCTAATAGCGTAAGTCCCTGTGGCTGTGATATTTAGATATTCTGAATTCTGGGCCAAGTTAGTTCCCACATTCTCAATTCTTTGATATGCTAGTCAAATCATAGGATGGAAAGATTTTACAAGTACTACAAATACAAGTAAGATTGTCATTTGGTATTTCCTTCCAATAATTTATTTTATCCTACCTTATAGTGACCGCTGGATTCTGGAATTCATCTATCGCATATTTTAATTTTCTTTTATGTAATGGATTTGTTATATAAAGACAAGTTTCTAATTCATCTTCCGTCATTCCAAGCAAAACCTAAAAAAATCAACATTCATATGGTTATACATCACAAACTGATGCCAGGGCTAAGGAGAAAGTTAAGTTAACACTCAACTGACTTAATGGTAACCTTTAGTGAGATGTAGTGGCATCGAGCTAATAAATAACTGGAAATATCTAACAGCAATAGTTAGAAGGTGGGTCATTAAAGTAATCCAAAAATATTCAGCTTTAGCAAGAAAAGAAATAAGCTTCAAAATTAATGATATTAAATTTTAAAATCTGAATTTTGAAACACAAAATACTGTTTTTTTTTTGAAAGTTTTACTTTTTTGGAGAATAAAGCTGAATTGCGTCAATTCTGAAGGCATAAAATTTGACATATTTCATAAATTTACTTTGCATTTGATTGGCATAGAATATTGATAAGAAGTACTCTGAAATCTAAAATATCAATGGATTTGAATATTAGCATGCAAAGTAGGAACAAAACTATATAATTCGACAAATTAGCAATTTGCTGCATAATTGAAAGATCAGGTCAAAATATTGAATTTAAAATGATTCTAAAATTTTATGTTTATAAGACTATTTATATATTGCCCCTTCCAAATAACAATCAAAACAAACCTTTCCGCTTTTTACATTCTCCACACATTCCTTGGTATATTGTGACATATGCATCACCAATTCTAACCAGACTTGAACAGTGTCCGCTCTCCACCTGAAAAATCGAATCAAATTACCGTTTCAAGCTAAAAATGCTGCTTAGCCTATTGGAAATCAGTGAAGTGTTAAAGTTGATCTAAATGGTATATACTGGGTTAAAGTGTCGTGATGCTATTGGCCCATTGCTAAACAACAACAATTTAGCTACACAATCTATATGTACAATTCATGTCTTAAAAGAACAAGAGAAGTACAGTTGCCAGTAAATTGGATTAAAAATGATTTTGAATGGTTAGATTTGATGATTTAAAGCAGGGGTCGGCAACCTACGGCTAGTGGAGTAATATAATCCGGCCCACGACGCTTCACTGAATTACAGTAACAAAACAGCCGTTATGATGATTATATTCTTTAGACTAAATTATATTTTAACCCAACAAGTATATAATTCACAATTACTCGTTAAATGAGACTATAATTTATGGTAATTATAATTAGACAAATGGCAACAAAACGCAGGAAATGTATCACTGCTTGATTTTTATTATAATAAGTATCATCCGTTCGGTGTTCAACTTTCTAAAAATATGTGCGGCCTACCAATGACTTGCAAGTGTTGCAACCAGTGTTAACTCTAAGCAAATTATGAGTGCGAAAGTGCTTCGCAGTCCAAAAAAAAAGTGCGAAAGTGCTTTTGCCGATTTTAACAAGTTGGGTGCCCTAGTCTTTCATATAACCCATTTAAAACGGCATAGATACTCGAAAAAGCGCTCCTCCGGTTAATATTATGAATTAAAGAGAAGCCTTTTCGTTAACGGAATCCCTTTAAGCGAATTCATGTTTAATTAAAAACAAGCGAATTCATCGGCAACGAATGACATTCTGCTAACACCTGCCTACCTACTTTCATGCAATGTATCACGGTGTCAGTTGCTTACTCGCGTAAACAGCAAAGACTTTCACATTTTGTTACTCCTTCCATCTAACAGACACGAGGCCGGCTGGAAACCATATTAATTACAGGATGGATCGTTTGTACAAATCCGGTGCAAAATAATCCCCCCCCCCCCCAATATAAATAGCAATCAACTAATTAGGGTTAGGTGCGCTAGAAATTCAACTTTTCGATTCATCCCCTAAACCTAATCTGATAATTATTAATTTGTGATTTTGAACCGCTTGAAAGTCGCCACCCGCTTGTTTTAAAAGATAGGTTAACCTACGTTCCCTCCGAAATATTATGCAGGATACTCCCTGTTTTAGAAGATAGGTTGACCTCTTTCCTTTCAAACTTTTTTCTCCAAAATATTACACAAGATCACTTTGAAAATCCTCCTTGTTTCGTGAGCTAGCGTGACCTAATTTCTCATTTACATTTATATTATACTATTTCAGAGCTTACCCAAAGACAAGTAATTTTTAAATGTCCACATGCCCTTGGTTTGCGTGCGAGTTATGTTTAAATCGGGCAGAAAACATCATATATTGGCCAAAATGTTTAGTAATGTCCATGTACTTTCAGCATTCATAAATAGCACTCTTTGTAATGCTGCTGGACCTAGTATCAAATATTCGCATCACAACGCCACTTGCGAGGTTTCCATATATTTCAATAACACTAATAGGAACGATGACATCAAAGAGTTTTCTTTTGCGAAGGTTACACTACATATAACGAGGGTGATTCTTGAGAAAAACATGAATATAAAAAATAAACGAATGATATGATAATGGATCCCAAATAATTTTGAGAGTGTCTCGAAATACCAATCCATTTGATAGATAATTTTTATTCGACCACATGAACGCTGATATCCTGAAACTAATGTTGAAAGAGAATTACGCATTCTCAGATATCAGGACATCCAGCTCGCGATATTCATCGTTCATATGCACAAATCTCACATTAATAGTAATTGCTACCCAAGTTTGTAAAGTTTAGAAAACCAACAAACAGAAAATAACTAACCTAAAACACAATTAAAATTCAGTCGGCAATAAATTCGTCGCCAAGACATGCCATACAAAACAAAAAAGATTTGGTCGCGAAGAGTACGTGAGATGACTGCCGTTGTTTTTTAAGCAGAATGTAAAAAAATTTATAATTAATAAACGGGAGTTACGACGCCCTTCACACATCGTGTGTATTAAACTTCCCTGGTAGGTACTTTGGTAAGTACTATTATTATTGTACCTATACACCTGTTGGAGTATTTCGGACAATTTCGAATTTAAAATAAATGAAAACCAGACATATAATGAAGACGCAAAAGTAAAATGAACATTTATTGAAAAAGTTATTATTTAAGAAAGACAACATGATCGTACAATTCCGCCAAAACCTCGATGTTCGCAAGTGAAGATGATAAATAAATACTTCCCTGTATTCGATCAATTAACTTTAGCGTATCGTTGTTCTGCCAACAAACAGCCGGGTGCAAAATATTTCCGTCCTGTGATATGCTCACAAATATTCTCGATATTAATATCATACCCTCGCGTATGTACTTTCTATTAGCTCTTTAGTGATCCCTTCCATCCTTGGCCAAGTCATGTTTCGAATATGTGAACATTTTATTCGACCATACATGGCCGGCGGGATGTTAAAATTGTAAACAAGAGAGAGGTAAAATCAATCGCGAATTTCGTTATAACGGCTCGTTTACGAATTGTTGCGCCTGTTATCGTCGAAAATGATTACATTTTTGTATTTAAGCAGTAATAATTAGGGCATGACATCATCAAAATCGTCAAGTGAGATCTTGAAATTGCAAATTCCGTAAATAAAATTGTGAATTATTCGGTAACGAATTCAGCTTTAATGACCGTCGGGGTATTGTTTTGTTGAAAATTATATTAATGTGAGAGCGCCAAAAACATACAGTCCATACCGATGCGACTGCAATTTATATGGTCGCAATTGGTGTGGCGCGTTTATTAATAGTGTAAAATAAATTAAACGAATATCAATTATAACCAAGCCTGTCAGCGTGTTTATTTTCTGTGGGCAGGAATCGTAAAATACCATCTTGAGACAAATTCACTTCTATTATAAAATCTTAATTTTCAGTTATTATCGTTATACAAATAACGTGTGGCAACTTTTTAATTTATCGTCGACCAAAAAACCGCCCCACACTCGTCCAAACGTGTGTCGAGCTTGAACGACAGGAACAGATTCATCGACGACCTTAATTAGGGAAAATATGTATTTTATTGGGAATGCAAAATAAATGTAACAAAACGCATTTTTTGTGATATAACTTTGTATTTTCGGAAACGGGTTGCCGTGAAAGGTAAAATTTGATCTAAATTAATCGCAAAAATGTTTTATTTTAAATGTAACAAAACACATTTTGCGATATAACCTTGTATTTTCGAAAACGGGTGTCCTGAAAAGTAAAATATGATCTAAATTAATCGCAAAAATGTTTTATTTTAAATGTAACAAAACACATTTTTCGAGATACAACTGTATTTTCGGATACCGGGTGTCATGAAGAGTAAAATATGATCTGAATTAACCGTAAATAATGTTTCATTCCAAATGTATCATAACGCATTTTTTTGCGATATAACTTTGTATTTTCGAAAACGGGGCGTCACGAAAATTATTAATCTAATGTTTTATCTATCGTCTAACTAACGTCTGGAACACATCATTTTCGGGGAGAACTCTAGCCCGCGAAACGTCATTTAATTTAAAATAGAGAATGTTTCACGCATTTCAAAACGGAAAATCACCAGTACCATTCAACCCTCCGGATTCAGTATTCTATATCCCCGTGTCAGAACTATCTGAAGAATGGAACAAAGAACCCGTCAAACCGCCGCGGAAGAAGGGGAGTATTTTTGCACTAATAATTAGGGCGTGACAATATCAAAATCGTCAAGAAACTGGTGAATTTGCAAATTCCATAAATAAAATTGTGAATTGCTCGGTAACATTTTAGCTATAATTATCGCCGGGGTATTGTTTTGTTGAAAACACGTTGAAACTTGAGGGAATTAGTTACAATTAGCGCCTGACCTCTATTAGGCACTCGAGCACTCGAAAAAAAAGCACTCGAGCCCAATCTTTTTAGCATTAAGTCGCATACGTAAAATATCCTGTAAAAGAAGTGCTGTTCATTAACGTCATCTCGTCTTATGACCACGCAGAAATGCCTTTATTGCCGAATTATTCAATCACTATTTAAATCAACATTCAGGATTGGCACAATTTCAGATTTGCGAAGTTTATCACCATAGAAATACATGAGAAAGTTAATTATCGTCTTAATAAATATCTGCATCACGGTATGGACAATAATATTACCATTCGCATAAAATTGGGACGGTAAATTTACAAATCTTGATAGGTAATATTAAAGCCAGCGCAAATGTTAATTTGAGTCCTCAATGTCTTCAACAGCTGTTGTGAACGAACGGGTAAACCCGAAATATAAAACTTCGATGTCCGCCGACCCACAAGAATTCATATTTGTAAAAAAGAGAGGGCGGGAATATAGATTACCCAAAACCTGGATATCGCCGCCAAACGATCGGTGACAAGAACAATTAGCGATTACAACGGAATTAACCAGTAAAAAGGCTTTGTTGCCGATTTTTTTAATGTTTCCACCACGTTTATTCGGTACTCCTTAAAAATATTCGATTTAAAAAAATATTGAATTTTGCCCACTCCTCCTCGCATATCAATGACGTCCTTTCAACATTGTGATTACAATAAAATGGCATTTAATGGTATTTTGTGAATTTGTTGATTTTGCAAATCTGTGACATGCTGCTAAAAGTTTCGTCTGATTTAAAATAGCGCAGTTTGGTCACAATTCATCCAAAGTGACTATATAACAGGTTACTAACACTTTTTATAGCCATTTTGAATTCATCGATATCATTGATAGTCACATGACCACTCTTGTTCAAAGAAACGCCCCGGGAGCGTTTTTTGCGGGAGAAGCGGAATCCGTGTGCTTGTATAATAATCATATTATAAACAAGAATTTTGCCGTTAATGCAAAAGCTTTATCTCCTATGTCTGCATCTCATAGGTTAGAATTCTGGTAAATATCGTTATGATATGCAGAATTGAGTTACAAAAGTACCAGTATGTTACTTATTTGTCAACTTAATACTCGAAAATATTTGTTAACTTTGAATTTTTATTCCATTCGAAAATCGGAAAAAAGTGCTATTTCTCTTCAAAATCGGAAAAAAGTGCTATTTCGCAGTCCCTAAAAAAAGTTGCGAAAGTGCTTCGCAATTTTCGCAAAAAAGTGCGCTAATAGTGAACACTGGTTGCAACCCTTAATTTTGGCCCGCGAGCGACAAAAGGTTGCCGACCCCTGATTTAAAGTTAGGTTTGAAAACATTTTACTGTATCCTAGTATTAAGTCTCTATCCCTAGTATTGGGCCCCAAGCCCCCAATATCTTTTTCGCACCATGAACAACTGTAGAATTTAACTCTAGCCATTGAGCAATTCCAAACCATTGTTCAGACCCCCCCATTTCCCAGTTTGACAATGACAATTTATTGACAATGTTTGACTCCAATTACCACTATTCAAAAGCCAACTACAACTGCAAGGAATTTCTAAATACTACTATCTATGAGTGTAACTGGGTACCTCAAACTCCCATATCCCTGGATGATGCTCATATCATTACTTACTTGTGCATTGGCAAAATTTTACTTTCATCCATAATTTCTTTCTTCTCGTCGTCCGTTCGATCATACAATGACATTCGACTTCCAGATAGAAAAACATCGGTGTCTGAAAATATATAAAAACACACTTTTAGTAATTTGTACTCGCACTTCATAACCACGCTCAAATAAAACTAGTAACTTTAAATAGAATTTGGTGTTTTAAGTATTGTAAGAATTCAAGGTATTATAATATCTGCATTATCCATCTGCTTATCTTATCTATTATCATGATTATCAAATAAAAAAAATTAGATAAGGCTACCCAAAATTGAAATGATTTTTGTAAGACTTTTTGATAATAAAAAGCACGAATACGCCAAAAATTAATCTCAATAAATATTGAAATGATAAAATCATTCATATTCATAAAACTGCGGTGCAATGATAGATATTTAAATAAATAACCTTGTAATATGAAAGAAAAATCATTGAAATGACATTCTGTTATTTAGACATCGGGCACAAACAAAATAAGATATAAAATATTAGTATAACCATGCAAATCCATGCGTACTATAAATATCACACTGTTAAAAAATGATTAAATAAATCAAGTAAAAAACGATTCATAAAAACTTTTTTGGTTTGCCTGCAATTTATTTCAAATACCACAATGTGGTTTCTGACATAATTCGACAAAACTTGAAAATTTGAAAAATTAACCGAAGTGGATATTTATTGATTGAAATTTCTTTGAAAGCCGAGTCTTTGGACATTCTAAACACTTTATGAAGTATTCATTGATGTAGATATATCAACACACATGTATGGTATTATAAAGCAGGTTTAAAATAATCAAACAAAATAGACAATATATAAATGAAATACGACTGCATTCTTCAAGAAGGACTGCAAACAAATTCACAATTACAAAATAAAATAATGTTAATAAAAAATATGAAAACCAGTAATAAATAAATAAAATAAAAATAGTCTGGAAGACTTCATACTGATATAAACATGACTTGTTCCACATAAGCTCACAAAAACGCATGTTGTTCACGGAAGATTCCTACCATAACTAGAACAGCGCATATTCACATCTTTGAAAAAATTAAACTTGTTTTATGAGAAGAATAGGTGAACTGCTGATCACAGAAACCATTTCAAATTTTCTTCTGCATAGCCTATTCATCCAAAATTAGGGCATTAGCTTCCCCTGATTGGAAATACTAAATTTCAATCAAGGATCAGTTTTAAAATACATTCGAACAATCAGGTAGTTGACCGAAAATTAGAGTCAAACAAAATTTCGGAGCCCGAGCACTCGAGACAAGCTTGCAAGTTGAGTGCACGGCCGAGTAAAATGACACCACTTTGAAACATAGAAGAGAACCAATAGAAGAGAATCATAACATGGTTTGGTTGTGCCACTTTCCTGGTTGCATGACGTTAAACAAAGATTCCTAATAAAACATAAACTAAAGCAAAACTGATTTAAACCATAGTCAAAGCAAGTCCATAAACAGGCAATCATGCAATGAAATAATCAAAATTAGTATCATTATGCACACACTGGGAAGCATTCGTATAAACATATGGAAAGAACTAAACAGTGAACACTTTTGAAACAAACCTGTACTGTACGATCGTATAGACAACGCTGTATTTCTGGGAATGCTAGAAGGTGTTCCAGGATCTGTCATGGGTTAATTAATTAATAAAATTTGAAGTTAGATGGAGGGATGGTTATATGGCCCCAAACGCCATTGAATGGCCTCACATAATGGGCTGCCATTTCATGGCAGGTTTTCCAATTAACCCTGCCATATAAAAAGTAGTTGAAGTCCTTGGGATAGCCACGCCGAGACGCAAAAGCAAAGAGGCAGTTTAGTGATGATTTGCATTATATTTTGCATTTGTATTAATATAGCAAAAGTTAAATTATTTTATTGGTTTAGCCTAATGCAGGACTCTGCGAGATGTTTTTCTCATAGGTTATCAAAACTTTGACCATTATTACTGTAATATTACATACCTAGTGAAAATTCAGTTTATCCTAGTTGATAAACTATCACAACTATTAATATTGGAAAAAGTATAAAAAGATGTTATTCACTATAATAATAATCACTAATAGTTATGCCGATAGTGGTTTGAACTTTAATATTCCAATTTCCATTCTACATATGTAATATAACTGATAAATAAATTTAGGTACTATAATTGGCTATTTCCCAGTTCTAAAAATATTTGAAATGAAACAAAAAATTGCAAAAAAATAGAATAAGAATTCATCAGGAATTGGGCATCCTATTACAAGAGAAAAGTTCAGATAATTTGAAGTCTAAGAATAATTCTGAAATTTTTACCCAGTCAATATCACCATACAAGTAACAAATATAAAAGCCTTGATAAAAAGCACCAACCATACATTCTACCACCGGTATTATATCGAAAAAACAAAGAGGCTTACTGCTTATATCCAAACTTTTCCGATTCCTCGCACGTCCCCATGCTCTTGATAATGAGCCTGATAATTGTGTAACAAGTTTGGTCCTCTTCCGATTTGGTTTTTCAAGAGACGCTCGTTCAATTGACGCTTGACCATTACCGACACCACATACCTCCTCGTTTGAAGACGAAGAATATGGAACATTGGAAAGAAAAGTACGAGGTGATGCGGGAGAAGCAATCAGGTCAGCACTGTCGATAGTCAAATTGTTATCAACTGTAAAGATATAAAATGACCATGTTAGTGACCAATTAAAAAATGATAATTTGAATTCTCAAAAAAAGTTCATATCAGCACATCACAAACACCAATGACTAGGAATGTTTAAAATGAATCGGATATTCGAATATAGGCCCACTCAAAATTGGTTATATTTGATTTTGCTGCAGAAAAACCAAATAAGCGTATGTTACACTTTTCGGGAACGGACTTTTTTGATCTTCCATTAATACGAATCAGGGGCTATCTTTTGGCCTTGGTTTCAAATGTGTACCTGTTTTAGTTTTAATTTTAGATAGTGCCTTATGTCCATTTTTAAGTTTGGTTGTACAGATCTGTAAATCGCAAAAATGCAATTTTCTCAAAACCTTAAAATGTGACACGAGCCAATTTTGTTTTGCTGTGGCGATCTAGTAAATTTTGCATTTTGGGAATCACTTAGAACATTTTTGTTTTAAAATTTGACATTGTAAGCATTTGTGACCTTATGGTACAACTAAAAATAGACCTAAATTTACTAACAAGTGTAATGACACTGTAAAAAAAAATATCAATCAAAACAATGTTTATCTCAACTATTCTTCATTAGCAATTTAAAGCCAGTATGTCAATTTCTGATTATATCTTTTTGTTCAACATGACTAACTTAAAAATATTCATTATTCCATATTCGACATTATTACATTCATATGTATTCAAAATAGCTAATTTTCGTATTTTACTGACACACACCTATAAAATCTAATCGTAATATATAAATAAAATGCCTGAATGCTAAATTCCCAAAAAAGCCATATTTACAAATTCCCAATTCCCAACAACATCAATGATTAATAACAGTTTTTACCAGAGAGATTTGTAACTTTATGGTTTGCATATTCATCACTATTACAAGATCTTCTGTTTTTAGCTTGTATTTGTGCGGGAGAGAGAAACTCGATCGTCTAAAAAAAGAAAATGAATCATCAATTTGTGAAATTGGCCGTAGAGATAAACACCTCAATATATACACTGAATAAATAATAGACACCTATGTATTCAGATAATGAATAGTATCACCACTTTATCAAAATAAAGTGAAATTGTTTTGCATCACAACCAGTTTCAACTCAGCTAAATCATGGTAGCCTAAACAGCATCCCATGATCAAATTATATTCGTATCCCCTCACTGGCCACATGATTTGAATTTTTATCAATAATGCTGGGCAATTCCAGGAGTAAATTGTTTGTATCAAATTCATTTCTCTCAAATTCTTCAATTCTAATTAAATTTAGTGAATAATTTTTGGGTAATGAATGACCTCATTAGAAACAAATTAGACAGTAACACAGTTAGGCTTTGTTGGGCACGAAATAAACTTCTAGAAATAATGTGCTTTATTTTATTATCCATTTTGCTTCGATAAACAGAGTAAAAGAAAGAGTGAAGCCAAGAAAAACTGGATTGAAATGATTTTATGAGTAAGTCTGTGGACTGCAAAAGCTTATAAAGTACAATGTGGTCTCCCCCCAAAACTTCTGGCATCCCATTCTAGATCGTAATGAAATGAATAAAAAATAATCTCATACACAACATGGGCTAGACTAAATACGAAAACACTACATTTGAAAAGTTCTCCATATTACATATTGATTTTCGTATTATTTTGATAAGAATGCCACAAACAAGAATGGATTTTTACCATTTTAGGTTGATTTTAAAAAAACTACAGCCTCACAACTCTACCTGTGATAATTCTGTTTCTAAATCACGAATTCTTTTATCTTTAGAGACACATTCATGTCTTAATGATGAGATGATTTCTCCAACTTCAGTGTTCTTGTGAGTCAAATCATCTTTTTCATGAATAAGTCTGCTTTTGTCTTCTTTTAATGAAGCCATTTTGGCTTCTTGTTCCTAAGAATACCAAAGTTTGTAAATTAATTTCAACCAAGTTATATTTTTATTAATAATACTGTAGATGTTCAGATGATTGAAATAATTTAGCCAAATGTTGTTTGAGAGCTTTAATATTTTCAAAGTTACGGCATGGCACGTTTGACGTTTCATCTAATTAAGATCTATGTAAACGTCAAATTTTTCGGTATTGTTTTACAAAAATTGAAAGAATAATGAACTCGAGAATTGAATACTTCAATTTTATATTGAAATGTAGACTCAAGATATATTCGATTGCATTGTTCAGCACAAATCAATATATCTTGAAACTACATTTGACATTCGCATAGTATCTTAAGCCGTTTTAAGCAGCACTTAACACAATCGTAGTCCTGATCAACAAACTGGGTTGCTGCGTTAATCGAAAGTACTTGAACAAGCACGAAAAACAGAGCTTTTAAAAAACTTTAGACGTCACCCCACTTGACAAACACAATAAGATAAACTCTGCCAAAACCATACGAGGTCTAGACACCGGATATTCTATTTTATTTCAAACAGAACTTGCGTTTGACCTATTTGATGAGAAGTCAAAATACGGAAGTTGTGTTATTTTTCGAAAAATTAGTTTTCAACAGCAGACAATATTACATAAAAATCAGTCATTGTCATTATGTCAAGCTTTTGTTTTTTGTGCTAAAAGAGAATGAACATAACACTGAATTTGGCATTGTTATGGCAATTTAACATGGACAAAATAGTCAGAAAAAGGCTGTTAGAAATTAGCAAACCCCATGAAAGCATTGCCATGTAACAAAAGCATACAATATTGTCATGTAATAAAATACAATGAAATTGAAAAATTTAGTTGAAATAAAAATATTTTGGAGGACCTATGGATCGTTTTGCGTAAATTGTGCTTGAAAAAAAATGCTCTACAACTATTCTTTTACGTACCTGCATTTGATTTTCATATTGTCTGATGAACGATCGTAATTGTTCTTCTTTTTCATCAAGTAATGTGTGGAGTTCTTCCAGTTGAATGAAAACATCTCTTTTCTCATCTTGTATCAGTCGCATGTCGGTCATCATCTCTGTAAACAATAATTTTTATATGCGTTTTACTTTTAAAAAAACTCAGAAAATACAGAAAGGTGAACACCCAGCTTGCCACAACATCTCAAACAAAACACTTAATTTTCCAATTTTTCTTTATTAAAAACATTAGCATTGCATTAGTATTGATCAAAAAAAACTTCTAAAAATCATTATCATCAATTTAATAAAATCTATTTAGAACGAAAGTATTTTCATATGGTCGCTCATGCGTAAGTATATCCGGGGTTAGAATTGAGTATTCAATTTCACGCTGATATTCACTTAGGAATCATCCAATTATAAGGACAAATACATTATGCAAATATAGATAATAACTCAAGCAGACTACCGAAATAATAAATAATACATTAACAACAGGACCTGAATGAAACAGAAAAACATGATCCTTGGTCATGCGCAAGACAGGACACATTAATCTTACGCAAAAAAAATTTAGATTGTTCAATGACATGACACTTTATAAATCGGGTTACAACTTACAAGTACTTTAAAGTAGAGATCATAAATATAATTTTCGATTTCGGCAATAGGATGCATGTCCCGCGAAATATCAAAAACAAATCTTGCATAAATTTCTACCCATATATGTAATATTCATTCATAAACTCAATTACCATAACGAGTATTCAACTACACATGTTAAAAAAAAAATTAATTGGAAGCAATTGAATAAATTTCAATACCAAAGTGACTTCGAAAAAGCGTTTTGTATTCGTAGAAAATTATAAGCAATGTTTAATTTTAGGATTAAAATTAAAATACTTGGAGATGGGAGAAGCTGTTATATGGATATTATCATTATCTTTTTTTACAATTTGTCTGAAGTCTATGAGGCTCGATATGTCACCAAAAATTTCTCTGTTCAATTTTACCAATTACAAAGGAATATGGAACTACCGATAGATTCCGATCAAGCCTATAAAACTGAAATTAGGTTCTTACCATGCAATGCAAGTTTGGTTTTGGCGAGTTCTGATACACATGATGCTTGCTGTCGTAAATTTTCAGTTTCTTTTTGAAGTTGGCGATTCTCACTTGACAATCTTTTATTCTCTTCTACAAGTTTTTTCAGTTCTCTCACTTCTGAAATAAAAAAAAGTGAATGTTTCAAAACAAAGTCCTTTTTAAATTAGATAATAAGAAAGGCAAAGCCAGACTAAATAAAAAAAAAGAATGAAGCTAAAAACAAAGAATTTTTTACGAGAGTAGAGTTCAGACTGCAAGAGCTTTACTCTCCTATTACTCACAGGACGAAGAGTCCAAACAGTCACATCAAGAAAAAAATAAGGACATTTTGAGAACTTCGATTGAAGTATTCAAGGCATCTGCATGAGGCATAAAAACGAATTGCTTATCTCAGAAACAATACTTGAAATTGCAGTTGGAAAATTATAAGAAAAGCTATACTAGAAATACCGGTACTTCTTTCTGTCTAAAAGAACACATTTACTAAACTCCCTACCATTTCACTACTGATTTCAATCTAATGACTACAGACAGTGTATCTTCACTGAAGTTTTTCAGTCTAATGACATCCCTACTATTCACACCTTCGCTTATTTTAGTTGAGACTTACAATTAAGCACTAATTGAAATTCAAGGTACTAATAAAAATTGCAATCAATAGGAAGTGAAGAGGAAGTAATTTGTGATGTAAATGACTGAATAAAAACCTAATCAATCAATATTAACGAATGTTGTATTCAATAATTAATTTTGTAAAATAACAAACAACCTACTTCAATTTTAAAAATAAGGAAGCAATATAGAGCGTGATTGTACATATTTTTATACTAATTTCTAGAATAATCAAAAAAAATCATATGAAATCTGAAATTGTGAATATATTTTTTTAAATAATAAAGTATTCAGATACATATGATAAAAGTAAGCTTCTTATTTTACATTAATTTGATATTCTAGGATACTTATTATGATATTTGCATTAAATATTTATGATAGATATTGATTTAATATCATCTATTCCATATGATAGGAACCAAAATTGATTCACACATGCATATAAAGATAAAACCAAACTAGATAAAAATGAGATTTTGTTTGCCGATGGCGATATATGCGTTTTCCAAAATACTAACCTAAAGATATTAATTATCCCTAGTTTATTTGTTGCCAATTTCAATGAATCTGAAAATTCAAGCTATCATTAACCTCTTACAAAAAAATTTATGTGTGGAGAAATGCCGCATTACTATTTCAAAGCTGCAATTAACATCATTGTTTGGTCATTTCTCCTTAGTACAAAAAATTAAATCTAATATTATTTTCAAAAACATGATGAAGCATAACTGCATAATTGAAATAAATCAGCTGATCACATGAGAAATAGGGAGAAAATATTTGCTTTTTAGTTTAGTTTCCTAATTTCGAAACACCCAAATGGGAAAGATTAATGATGGAAGTATCACTAGCAGAGATAGTCAAAATTGAATAATCTACCATTCCATTTCATTTTGAAAAAATATTTCGAATATGAGATAGAATTTAGGATAGGATTTTCATATTTATTCGGGGGAGAGGAAACACTCTACAAGATATGCTATGCAAAACATAGGATTATGAAAGAACTGGTACATGTGGATTATTTTGATATTTCTCTCCTTATCATTAATAGTCTAGACAGGAAGATATTTTTAGATAGAGACAAAGAGTGAATGAAACTGAAGAGTCATATCCAATCTTTGAACAGTATTATGAAACTCTGTCTGTCAAGATTTATAGAGTATATTATGGCTACTGGGCTACTTAGATTTATGAAACTTGAAAAAATTTTAAATTTTTTTGTATAATACAAGACTAAATACAAATAAAATGCAAATTTAAAATATCATGAAGTTGTAGAATTAGTATTTGCATTTTGTGAATGGGATATACTACGATATTAGCCTATTAACAAAAAATAATAACAAGATTGTTTACTATTAACATTCCGCTGAATACTTAATTTTATTATTTAAAATTTGTAAAAATAAAAATTCTGTCAGAGAAAAAAAATGACAAAATGTATTTAATTATGAAATTTGTGTGAAAGCTAAGGTAATGATAGTTTAAAGCAAGTTTTCATTTCAACTTTATCAAGATGTCACTAACAATGATATATGCAAATATCTGAATGATGGGTCAACCAATTATCTTATTTACATCAAAATATATTAGTCACTGCTGATCCGTGCTGAAAATCTATTATACGCTAACATACTATGCAAATTTAAGTGAGAAAGCAGGGAGACCATATCCTTTTACAATTTCACAAAGTAATCACAAAACAAAACGACGGTAACTTGTTTTCAGGACCTGCATAATTTTATCACTATGGACAATGGACATACATATGCAATATGAGGGTAAATAAAAAACCATTAGTGAATTAGACTAAAATCTTAGGGTAAACGAAAATACATAATCTTCAACCTGATCTCCGACCCTGGCAATGCTGGCAGGAATCTCTCATGGAAAGTTCTCGTAGTTTTTTGTTCGTCATATCTAGTTCAATTCGTAAAGTGTTGACTTCTTGATTAGCAGATTGTATTGTACCGTCAATGTGGCTGGCTAATCGACGATTATCATCGACCATTTTCTTAAACTTGGTCTGAAAATGTGAAAAAGTATTCAAATATTATATCCAACCTAGAAACAGTATTACACATTATAGAGATAAGAGCACCATACTGAAATGTCTAAATAAATTTGAATGTTAATGAAAATTAGTCCTCCCTTCTGAGAAAATGTAGTTGAGCTAAATAAGCAGCCATTAGAAAAAGGTCGTCCGAGAAAAATATTATGATAAAATTTGAGTGCTAATCACCAACTACTTTTGAACTGTGAAAACTCTCTGTGTGAAATGGTATAAAGAAGGCAGGTAATGGCAGTTTTCAAAATCATTAGTGAACAAGGCCCTAGCTATGATAGCTGAAGTCACTTACATAACTATATTACTCTCTCTAGATACAGTAAAATAAAATTTCAAATGAAAAACAAATGAACTCTCCCTGCATATTGATATTATTCGGACTGATTTAATATTAATAAAAATCCCGCAGTTGACTCATATAAACATAATATTCATCATAACATTTAAACCTTCACCACTAATCTTTTCCACATCTTACACTACAATTCCTGAATCAGTGTATTCTCAACAATTCTACCTACATAAAGACTATACAGTGATACAGTCAGATCTCTGTTTAAGAAATCGTTAAAGTCAGTGAGTAATTTGTATGACACAACATGTAAAACGAGAGTATTTACAATTGTACTTATCTGATTCAAACCCATTACTTTACGTCTAAAGATAGAGAATTTAACCCCAGGCTATTTACTACATTTTCTTTGTGCTTTCGATCGATAATGTGCCATGATTGATCGAATATGAGACTATAATTTGGATTAAAAAATCAAAGATTTTGTAAACAAAAAGCAAAATCATGTTTTGGAAAAAAAAGAAGCTAAACATTATTTGTATTTCCGAATTCCGATAATTTTCATGAAATTATTGAAAAACATTCAGTACCAATGCATGTAATTTAATTTATGTTGGCAAATCCTGTCATGAGCTTTCAAACTTAATGAAAAATGTTGACAATCAATTCCCATTTTTTTCCGAGATATAAAAAAGTTGATCTTATGATAGGGCAAAGCACTAAAATATCATTACATATCTCTCAGAAACCAATATTCTAATAATTTAGTGGCCCAAAGTTCTGCTTAAAATTTATAAACATAAATTTTTAATTTTGTTAGAGATATGATGGCTTCGTGTATGATCATATACCGTAGTTGTAATGTGCCATACTTACTACCTATCTGTAAAAATGCTTATTTTATAGACTGGTAGGACATTAGAGCATTTCGAAATAAAATTGTATAACATAACCATATTCTGTCCCTAAACATGATGAATCAGCAGACAACAATCATCAATATGTGTTATTTTTAATAAATTGCAAAACAGATATTTCTCAGAAATATAGGTCAATTGTCTGCAATAAAAGAATGAACCCATGGAAAAGCAAAGGATACAAAAACATGATAAACTCAGAAATCATTTGCATTTAGCTGATTTTGTCTTGTTTACATGAATAAAAAAGTAAAATAAGTATTTATATAATATATTAGACTAGTGCATTGCATTTACATTGGCCAAAACTAAAAAATTTACTGTTTTGAATACATTCTGGAAAATATTGACAAATGTTAAATTAAGCCTGTTTTAGTTAGACTGTCACTTGTCTGAAGCTCAGTAAAACATATTTCGAAAATGAAATTTTCTGATTTATCATATTAGGTTCATCTATAAGTTACGCTTATTTACAGTTCCTGATTAAATCTTCCAGATAGCAAAGTTAAGTACAATTTGACCACTAACTATTATTATTGGGCAAAGAGTAAATTGGTTTTCATAAAAATTTAAAACTCCTTAATCCAACCTGTGCATCCATGAGCAGCCTCCTCATCAAGGTGAGTGACGCAGTGAGTGCATCTCTCTGTTTTGGAAGAAGTGCGTCGCTATCAAAACTTGATATAAGTCCGGATACAGATCCTGTACCAGCGTTATTTAAAGACGAACTGAAGATAAATTGCAGAATTTGTTCGTTCAATGAATCTAGTGACTGAAGAGCTGTCAAAGAAAATAGAATTTGCTGATAATTTCGAGATTGAATAAATAAATATCCCTTGAATCCGAGGATAATAATGAACTGTAATATAGAATTCATTCATCAACATCCTAAACATGGAATCAAAGCTCATTTTATAGTCTAACCTTAGTCAAAATTGACATTATTCAAATGAGATTACATCTGGTGAATGGAAATAGATAGTTCCAAAAATCCGCCGGCGAAGTGGAAAATATGAATATGAATATACTAGTTCTACAACTTAATGAGAATAAAAAAGTGTATTACGGTACATTCTAAATACCATACTAATGCGTTAAGTAGTTACACAACGGACATTTAACAAACAGACAGTGTCGCATGGAAAGCAGACATAATCTCCGTGATTAAACCAGACAGTTAGCAAACAACACAATCGACTAGTATATTTGAAAAGCGCGGGAAAGGCCGGTGAACGTGACACAAACAATGTACGTCAATGATGTAATGTAACATGTATTACGAAACTGAAGACTGCCTTAAAACAAATGCGTTGTGTGGTAAAACTCTGTACTGAAATACAAACAATTGTACCGTATGTAACCTGTTCCGACCAAACTGTAAAAAAAAATTCAATTCTATTTCTGATTATTTACAGAATACATAGACGTACAATTGACATCTAGCGACATTGGGACGATTTCGTTGCGCACCTCACAATCTCTGTAGCCAAGTCTAGATGATATCAGAAATAATTCCAAGTCTTCAGTCCTTAACAGCAAAGTTTAAATTGTCAAGAGTCCCGTCTATCCGGGAAAGTTAATCAACGCTCTTCCTCGATATCTACTGGTCGTGAGCCATCTTAAAGTGAATTCACAGCGGGGGTGCTCACGAACACTCGGTGAAAAGTGCGATTTGATCTCTATCGCTCTAACGCAAACTACAGGAGACAAAAACACGTGCGGGATAATACATAATAACTCTAAGCCTACAACCGCGCCTTTGTTAACTTATTAAAGATCCGATTTAATATTCCCAGACTCGACGTATCATAACACCTAATAAATCATGTTAATATTGTCGAGTACTTCATCATACCTAAGATTGACAAAATTCGAAACGAGAGCAAACGAATAGTAGTGATTTAGCACGGGCCGGACATGAATTGAGTGTCGGAAATGTGTTCCATGACCGGCTCATGTATATCGGACTGTAAATATGAATAAAACCTATACACCAAACAAAAAGGATGCGTTTATAGCAATTTCAGACAAGATTATCGAATAACCAAGCAAGATTACCATCCTCAATCGTTGCAATTTCAGTTCAAACACGGAATATTCTCAACAACACGATATTACATTTGGGTTAAGCCAAGGTTAAACGGCTTACTCCCACATCATTATACTGACAATCCAGTCGAAATAAAAATATGGATTTAACATATATTATTCCGAACATCAGTTACGCAGTTTTCAATACCTCATGATCACATTTGTGCGTCAAATCTTAAATTTATCACCGGCAATATTTTGCATTGAATCTAAAATTTTCCATATAAACTACAATCTATAACTTTATTGTAAGTACAATACTCACATTCAAACATCGAGTTTCGTTTACTTGGCAATTCCATTTTGAGCATATAAATAGTAATATTCATATAGGTTTCAATACCGCACGCAAAGATATATGCTATTGCCCTCGTCGCAGACTAACTAAAGTGTTCTGAGCTCATTATGACTTGAAGCACGGGTGTTTTCAGTGAGCGTAAGTACACTTCAAAACCTCTTGAACTATCAGCAGCCTTGTGCTGATTTAGGGCAGAAGTGTTTTTGGTACTGACGCTCCTCGAAAGATTGTTTGATTTCGGGTTAACGCAGAAATTTAGCATTTCTCCTAATCACAAAAATCGACAAAAGTTTCTCGCGCGTACATTTTGAAGAAGAAAACCAAGTTAGCGTATTATACTTGCCAAGCTAAGCCAACCGATACCGACCAATGGAGCCAATTCGATGTCGCTGATTGCACAATTTAAGTCAATTTCGGAGCTTACTAGCCGTCTGCGAAACTGCACCGCTTCGTGCACGAAAGCGATAGAACGCACATAAATAAGTATATACATTGGTATCAATTTACTATAGTCTGCTAAATATTATTGAAGCAATCTAAGGCTATAATTCTAAAATAGTATTATCAACAAAATCATCATCAATAATATTCATTTATCCGGCGGGCTTCCTTCTCAGGGTGAAGTAGGTAATCTGTTAAAAATGTTAAACTGTTCGTCAACTAAGTAATGTTAAACTCTGACTTATATATAAGCTTTATAAAATATCGAGATTTAATTTTACCAGCCTCAATAATACTGTTATAAAACGGAGTAAAAACTATCATAAGGCTGATAAAAAACAAGCGTTTGGACTCCCGATTCTCGAATGCTTGATCATCGCCTCTCCAATGCCGTTGGATATATCCCATTTGATTCTCATGGGACCGTATTCGAAATGGTGAGATGATGAGGTGATATTACATGCTGATCGAAAAACTTCCCAAGTATTATTGCGATTTGGATACCATTATACGAACGTACAAATATAATACGAATGTGATGGGCCAGAATGTGCTGAATCTCGCTGGTGTTAGATATACCTGATCATAGACCCATGATAACCTGTAGCTCACAGTTCACAAGCTCACAATACGTCGTCTTAGGTTTGAATATTATGCTTTATTGGGCATTTGCGGGTACACAAATTATCTAAATGCATGTAATCCATCTACAAACATGCCGTAAATCGAGGAGCTGGTACATTATTACCGGCGATTAAAAGGCGACCGGAGAAAGCAAATATCGTCTGCAAACAAATGATATCATTGAAAACACGTAGACTGATTGCGCAACGGGCGAAAGATAAACTCAACTTGCTTCATTAGATTGATGTAATACACTAGGTTGAGGACTGAGTATTATTATTCAAATACGGGACCAAGTGTTCTTCCGTCAGTAAATATTAGCTATTATGCCGAGAGAAACCAATGGTTCTCTATATTCCAGAAATTTTGGCGTGGAATCATGCGATAACAACCTTACAAACGTAACAAATGATTTACAGAAAAGGTGCCTCTTCGATGCATGAGAAGTGCGACTTTTCGTTTCTTCTCCTCACGTCGTAAAGATATGTTATGCACTTTCGAGGATATGAATGGTTTGCGATTTTCAGCATATTATGGACCCAATTATTCAGAACAAATTTATGTGAAAAGAGCTTCATCAGACATAAACATGGAAGTAAAAAATCCAAGCTTGTGTCATTTCTTACAAATAAAACTACTTTTGCGTATTTTATTCGTTGCATGCTTCACGACTCCTAGGTCTCAGACCTCGCACGTAATAGCGGATCACACGTATAATTTCAATTAGACAAATCATCGATCAATATTTTAATTAATTTTGCTACGAAACAGTTGGAACTATCTTTAAATTTTTTGACCTCAACCTTTCAAAAGAAAATAAACACCAATTTCCACGTAGCAATGACATAAGCAACTCCTTAGTTTCTGTGCTTCAACAGGAATGTATAAGTGTTTACGTGCATAACGACTTTCGTTTGCATAATTCATAAAATTGCAATTACCAGGCTTTCATAAATACATGAAAGCACGAATATCGTGAATATATTTTGTCATCGGTTGTATAATTAATAGAGGGAAATCGCAAGACATAGATGTACCGCGCATCGGAGGCGAATACATATATCAGGGCCACGTTAGACAGATTCGTATTAATTCCGCTGACTAGAATACACAAGAACAAAGAAGAAGTATCAAGATAACAGCTATCAGCACTTCATAAAGCATCAATAACAGTAAATTAACTAGGAATTTTTAGTTAATTATAAAGGGACGGGAGTCTAAAAATGGAAAGGCAATATACTATTTAAATCGTTCAAAGCGCTCCATGGGGTCCCTGAAGATCCGGGATTACTGTTTGTATTCAATGAATCATATCTCTAATTTTGACAATCGCATTATGTCATGCGTAAATAACAATAAAGGATCGATCAAGTGCGAAAAATTACAATACGGCGAATTGTTTTGCGAGTCAGTTAAACTCGGAACATTTTAACATAGTGGTAAAATACGTTAAGGCATATAATGGTAAATAATTAGTAAGACACATTTTATGAGGTCGTAATCAATTTTGCAATGTTGTAGGCAAAAGTTATGCTGTAAATGGCGCCATAGTGTACTAATAGCGTGGAATTAATGTATGTATTTTCGACTAAATAAAATGGAATACTGAATAGTCAATCATTCGAGCTACAGAAACAACAATTCGAGCGTGATATAATTAAGTTCAATTGCGTCTATTTGCCAGTTACGTCAACTAGTAATATCAACCTAACCTTGGTACTTACGGCGTGCGTGAATAAACACATTATTTTTAATCACGGAAGCATTCGGGCAAACAAAACCAAATATTAAACCTGCTCTAACTCCCATGACGCTTGAATTCAAATTGCCGTATCCTATTGGGAAATTACATCTTTGTTTATTCCTAATACACAGCTTACACACCACCGTCACTATCCTTACACGCTGGCTTTCTGCTCGTCTCGGAGGTCTGGAATGTGGTTTAAATTAATCGAAACGTAACTTTCACGAAGTTCTGTAAAACGCATTTGCGTCACAAGGTGAGAAAATTGATTGGATTTGGTGATAATTTAGCGCGAATTAGTTTACGTCTATAACACCTTCTTGAATCAACATTATGATTGTGCAGACACCGACATCAAATGGCGATGGAGATCTCTGGCAATAAAATTGTCATTCTAATCAAGAGACATTTACTTCAAATAATAATACATATCACACACTTCTATAAAAAAACGTCATGCGCTTGTAAAAATAATACATATTCCAGACTCTCCTTTATCTTAAAAATTACCCCGCCCCCAAAACGGTAAACTATCTCGCTTTCTTTGCACAAACACATATAAGAGTTTATTAACAACGTGATATAAGACCACTAAATGAAACCAAATACTAAGAAGTGAATAAATAAACCGGGTGACCTGGCACCGTGCTTACTGGAAATTATATAAGTCCCCACTTGAACTAATTTACGGACATATGGTAAATCAGTAATTTTTTGGCGGGAGTTTTAAATCAACTAACCAAAGATATCTTATACCTGATTGGATTAAATTCAAGTAAAACTGCTCGAGTGAGGAAGGATTCATCTGTTTAAACGACATTTTATGAAATATAACGATAACTGAAATTTGCATAGAAAGCAAATTGATTTAAAACATGCTGATATGGGTTATTCGGGTTGTCGAATAATTTGACAAGTAGAACGAAAAAGGGTTGACCCAACTGCCAATTGTACTGCGTAAAAGTATCAACGGTCGCTTGATTTACTGATAGTATTTTGATAAACGAGATAGTGTACCAATGGCTAAAGAAGCCCTAAATACTCAGGCAACCCAACGGTGAAGCACAATCCAAAAAAAAAAGAATGGAAGCATAAAGGCAAAGAAAAAACTTCTCACTTCAATTTATTTGTCTGCCAATAGAATTCT